TGAGAGCGTTAAATGCGACATTAATACCTACTATAAAAAATATAAAGTACATCTCTAGTCATTTTCAATGTAGAATTTTTAGTGACCACAGATATATCCTGTACACTAACTTGGGTTAAAAACTGAATTAATGAGCAGGTTACTGACGAGTAGTTATTTCACGTAACCCAGAGAGGACCAGACGATAATTTTTTTATGCATTGCTACGTTAGTTACATTTTTGTCATTACTCCCTAGGAAACATTGATACCGCTACAGTTTTTTTTTTTTTTTTTTTTTTTTGCATTTTAGCGTTAGAGATACCAAGCACTATTCACATCAAGCATTCGTTGATTCTCGGCTCCAAACGCGTTCTCGGGACTTTATCTAAGTACACCGTATATATAATTCTATACCCCGGAAGATCACTGCAATAAAAACAGGAAAAGCTAGAAACCAGAGTTTTAGAAGGCCTAATTTGCACTGCTGCTGACTTGTTTCTTGATTTCTTACTGTCAATCATTTACATGTAGAGACTTACTTGGTGCCTGGTAGATGTAATTGCCTGCATGGTGTACGCCACCTGCCCAAGGAACTTGGAAAGAAATATTTAGACCTAGATTTATTTATGGTACTCTTAAACAGCTTGAAGGCCTAAATAGAGTTGCACGTACACACATTATAAGGCAATAAAAAGAAAATAAACAAATATGGTCACAACCTAATGAGAAATTAATGATGGTAGACGTTTTTTAAACATATCAAAGGACGTAAAACGCTATTGTTATTTGACTTATCATAGAGACGTTGCATCCGAATCAAGGTAGTTTGAGATTATGAGGAGCGTGACTATAAATGTATATTGTGCCAATTTCGTTGTCATGGTACATGTCATAAAATCTTATCAAAACCAAAAAAAAATATATAAGAGCATTGAGTAATTTCTATAGAAACGCTGAATCACGAATTAATTTTTTCTCCTAAGTACTCAAATGCATAAAATGCAGGCGATCGTTTGAATGTATTCAAAAGAAATTACACAGTCGATCGTTTTAGATGTTGAAATAGAATGTTTTGTTTAATAATTTCTTCGCTAAATTTAGCGTTGATAGGTAAATCACGTGATATGCACCAATTTAGCATTCCCTATGCATTTAGCGTGGCAACAAAATTAGAGTATATGTCACCTGACATCAATCTCTCCGCTAAATTTAGTGAGGGAATTAAACTGATGCATGTCACGGGATATTCATTTTCCAGCATAATTTAGCGGAGAAGCTGGGTGAGTATATAGGTCACGTGAAGTCAATTTTCTCGCTAAAATTAGCGCCAAAACTGAATTGGTTTTGTTACATAACGATAAGTCACGTGGCGCTCGTTTTCTCGCTAAATTTAGCGTGAAAATATTCGGACGAACGGACGGAGGGGCGGAAAAACTCATGGGATCTGGAAGTTATGTTCAAAAACATTCTAGGCTTAAACATAACAGAAACTAGAAACCGAGTGTTTAGTTTCAGCTTGGCAGGTGTGCTGCTATAAGACAGGAAACTCCACCTTTACGGGACAACATTTTCCAAGTAAATGCTTAAGCAATTATGCCAAAAACTCTAGCTAAGCCGCCACTGTCACAAATCATCGCGGGGTTCTTCCAGTATTTCTGCACGTTGTCGCAATCTCTCTCCTACCTCACGCGTGAGCGTGCTCTGCCGCCTTCCTCCTGCAGGCTTCACGCATGCGCCGACCGTTTGGTTAAATCGGTCGATTGTTTTGCCCATCTAACCAAATATGTTGAGCCTATAGAATTAGTAATGCAGGGTGCTGCCTTAAGAACAAATGTATTTGGCACGCCTTGCCAGCTAATATTTCAAACCTACATTCATATTAGTAAGCACACTAAAATTGTTGCGCAATTTCTGTTGCAAATGTTCGCTCAGAAATGTTAAAATCTAAAAAACCAAGAATTTCTGGCAATTATATTTTCATGCCCGACCATGTCATCATATGTACGATAGTCATTAAAGGCATCCGGAATACACGGAAGTTATCTTATCTCGTGGGAGCGCTATCCTGGTGATGGCTGAAGAACTGCTTCATGACGTACCGCTCACTGGAGCAGCCCGAGAAAGGGAGACCGCTCGCTGAACCGTGAATATGCAGCAAGTGTGCCGGCCGGTGAATTTATACTTATCTCCACCTTCTTGCACGAGGATGCAACGTGGCTGCCAACACAGTCAGTGTTTGTATGATTCAACCAGTGAGCATTTATGTTTATATTGATAAGGCAAGAAGTGTAGAACGCTTCGCAGGCTTAAATTGCGTTGCTGTCCCGGTTACAGCAGCAGCTTCGACCTCGAGTGAGCGGCCTCTCCTGTTCTCACTGTTTCATTAAGCTCTGCTTCTTAGACCAGTTCTTCGGCTGGCACCAGGGTAGCGCCGCCATCAAATAAGACACCGCTCACGTGCCCTGGATGAGTTGGTGAGCACTGTATGTGTTTGGGTCGGTCAATGTCGGTGCAATGATTTATGCACTGCGACTCGTACCAGGAATTCAGTCGAGAAGGCCATTGGTTGTGGACGCATGGTATCAAGATTGCTTACGCCAGCTAAATTAAAGTGAAGGTCAACCCGCAGGGGACGTCTGCTGCGGCCATGACACTATATTGTTCTCAAGGCATTAACACGTTTTCGTCTTGCTTCTGCGACTGTCGCTTTTACCAGGCTGCTCCCACCAAAACCGCAATTTACGTGTAAATGGCAGGCCTGCATAACTTGCGTTCTATAACGGCTTGTTTGCCATTTGCGGGCTGGACGTGAGCTCGCTCCCAAAAAACGTGCAGATGCAAATTAAAATGCAAATGCAAATGCAAATGCAAATGCAAATGCAAATGCAAATGCAAATGCAAATGCAAAAAAAAAGTACGAAACGCAGTAGCACAGGTTGGCGACAAATAAGATTATCGTGATAAGTAGCTATTTTCGTAAAAAAAAAATATAGCGTATTGTAGATTTCTTTGTTTGTATTCTGCGAAGCCGAGGAGAAAGACGGCGCGGGGTAGAAAAACGATGGGAGGCCGAGCGGCGCTCGAGATTGGCGCGCGAGGTGTGCGAGAACTGGAGCGATTAAGAACGGCCGCAACCGAGGAAGCTCCAACGACTCGGCCGAGCACTAGACCAAGCCAGCTCCGGGAACTCGGTCAAACACCAGGCACCCGGGACAATCGCCGAGTCGTCCTCAGCAACAATGATCAAGGAGCAGATAACAGTAAAATGTTTATTCACATCTCCTGTAACGTGTGACTTCTTGGGAGAGCGAACCAGGCGGAGCCAGATTGGGTGGCACAATTATTCAGCGACCCACAGTGTTTAGACACAAACAGGTTCGCTTTGTAAAGAAATGTGTGCTTTAAAGGGGTCATGAAGCGATTTTCCTACTTCTTCCTCCTTAGCTTTAATCCTCCACTCAAATGCGAATTCTGAAATCACGTGGTCGTGACATTCCTTCGGCACCGGTGCGATGACTCCTAGCTTCCACCGTGCTTTTTATGCACACCATAGAACTTGTCATTCCCCAGTGACAATAAGTTCCGTCTTGGCACTCATTGGCCACGAACGCGAATCCAAATATTCGTCGACGGATTGATTGTTGACGAGCGCATATGTCCGAGTGACGCAGTTCTCGTGTCCAATGCGTGAGCTGGGCTCTGCTGACGTCAGTTTGGTGCCGGTGACGCGCTTTTGGAACCGCGGATGTATCATAGTGAAAAGTCGGAGAGCTTTTGAAGGCAAGAAGGTACAAAATAGTCCGCTATATTTTCAAATGTTCGTACCGAAAAGCTGGCTTTCGACTTTCTAGCCTCTTTCTTTTGGCCGACTAAACGATATGTGATTAGTAAAGTCCCAATTTAAAATCATTCATCCCAACCCAAAATTTGTTTCATGGCCCGTTTAACTCCAATAAAATATTGTTTTATTTTGTCGTCGGCTTACTAAATATATTTTTTAAACAAAATAAGTCCGCTTTGTTTCTAAATCCCCAAAACAAAATACGCAATCCTAAATATTTTAGGAGCTATTTATAAAAATTTTTTGCCTGTTGCTCGCCATGGCGCTTTCGGGGGTTTTGCCATTATACTCCGTTTCACCTGATGTCGTACCGCAGCAAAGGCTAGAAGCGCGAGCTCATAGCGTTGGCAGCTGCCCTTGGTGCACGTGAGCTTGTGCCGCCGAGATGTGCCGTAGAGCAAGGAGCTCGCGCTTGTAGCCTTTCCCACGGTACAACACAAGGTGCAACAAAGTATAGCACACTATCTGAATGGAGATCGCCAACCAGTGTGAAGACGGCGACAAGCCTGTCTAGGACATAAGTGATTAACGGCCGCATTTCTTCCCTAGACATTACTACCTGTGAGATGACATCTAAAAAATTGACGCCAAACGTATGGCGATCAATCGTTCGTGAGAACAATTTCAAATATTTATGTTTTAAAAATGTAATATGGCAAAGCCTGCCAAACGCACTGTTTTTAAGGCAATCCTGCCTGTGATGCAGATCCCTTTGAATGTCACATGCGTCATACCATTCACTTTTCTTTCTTTTGTTTTTACAAGCCCAGAAAATTCTGAGTTTTTTCATTTTTTTAAACATTGTACTTTTCGGGGTTTTGTAAAGGAATAGGTTAATTTACTCTGTTTCTGAAAGCAGAACACACAACAAAAAAAAATGTTAGAGATCAGCCTGGATTTTTTTACTGGGCTAATTAACTAACCGCTCCAAGCAAAAACTCCAAAACTAAATTCTGACTTCCTTTGGAGCGCTTGTTTCTTGCCACTTTAGTGCGCCATCAACGCGAGCTGGTATTGGCTGCATTACCACTGCCAGAGAGGACCTCATCTGAACAGCTCCAAAATCCCCGGTAGATTTTACCATAATACTTTTGCTAGAACTTCTTCTTCGGAATTTGCATTACAACAAAGCTTTCGTTGCAGTACCACATGCCGGAGTTCAAAAACGAGGAAGTGCGTTACTCGTAACATTTTATTTCATCAACGTCACAGTGAATGACATTATTCGGTCTACTGTGATAAATAGTCAGCTGAACCTGCGCAATATCAAGTTACACCAGAAAGCCAGGTGACCCTGAAAGCTCTGAAGGCACGAAATAACCAAAGACCAAGACCAAAGTGGCGTTACGTAGTCACGTCTCCACCGCCAGACGCCGTCGCATCCGTAGTGTTAAAAAGCAGCGGATAGAGGAGCTGATGTTGGTCGTCCGTGCTATAAAGTGACCCGTCACCGGGGTTGTAGCTGAGGAAGGTGGTGTTTCCGAAAGGGTTGCTGAAGTTGAGTCTGACCCCCTCGAGCAGCGACTCCGTGTAGAGATCGTACGCGAAGCCGAGCTCGGTGCGGTGCTCGGTCAAGCTGTTTATGCCATAGAGAACGCCGCATACGACGAAGAGCTTCCCCACTTTGCGGTGGTCCAGGGTCAGGTTCCAGATGAACTCGGGCCGGAAACTTTGCTCGTCAACCTGCGATGGAGAGTAACGGCGGCAAATTTTGTCTCTCACGGGGCCTCGCCCAGTATGAACATCCTACCACAGTGCCTGGAACACGTTTCCAACTGGTGCATGTGTTTTTAGTGCGGCCTCAAATGTGGCTCCTCCATTTTCGATCGATCACGTTCGATCGATCACGCCTTATGCTTGCCTGCCTCAATCCTGGCCGTGGCGTAGCAGCGGAGGTGCATGCGAAACACGCGTGTTCGGCTGCAGGTCGCTCTTCCAGCCTCGAGTTTACGGAAGTTTCAGCAGTCGGGACACTGCGACGACCGCGACACTTGCGATCGTTCACTCTATTGTCGGGTGCTCAACGACAAATCGCCAGGATTTCAACGTCCTGGAGTACGGGACGCCAGCTAGAATAAAGGGATTTTTTTTTATCCCTTCGGGACGAACTTTAATGTGTGGACAGCACGGAAACGCTCCAGGCATCGCAGTATCGTATAAAACAGAAAAGCAAATGACGAAAGCTACGGGATTCAGTGTCTTATTCTATACATTGTTTTTGCACTAGGCTACAGACTATTTATGATTACATCATGTAGTTTATAGTTTCAGAAAAACGGCGACACATATGTGCGCGGTCCAGCCACCTCTAGCGCTCCCTTCGTAACTTTCATTAACCGCTGTATAAATATTCTTCTACACACAAGTACAGCCAACATGACCTGGAAGACGAAGCCCGCTCATTACGTCATTGTTAGTGGATTTCGGAACCGCCCCCAAGCGGCAAACACATTGAAGCTCGACGAAACAATGCCGGAGAGCGGTTGACTTGTGCGTCCGCATGGCGTGGCCGCGTGCTAGCGTCGCTCTTCTTGTGAGACGCTGCAAAACTCACTGGCGGAAATGCCGACGCAAGCTAGGTGGCGCTGCGTGGATTTTTACTAGTGAAGGCTTTTGGAGGGTTGAAAGAGCAGGCCTTGACTTCCAGTGCAAAAGGAAACGAGGTAGATGTGATTAGAGCGACTAACTGGTATCCCGTTCACCAAGCAAAAGTTACCCCCCTTGGCTGCCGCCATCTTGTACAATTTTGACCACTAAAGATATGACCATATCATATCCTGAGGCCTTTACGCAAAACTGAGCAGAGATTTGCATTGCGATCGCTGTAAAAAGCATGATAATCTATTTTTTCGATACTGTTAGCACCAGAGATCGGTATCTATTTCTGATTCAAATCCAAAATACAGCACCGCGGTCGACGGCATCAAGCGGACGCATTGCGAAGCTGCCCAAGTGTTTGTCATAAAAGCACAATTTGTACATAAAACAAACGAAACACAACTTATCTTGTCGGTACTGTTAGTAAAGATCAATGAGCAATTATTTGTGCACGGTACTTGGTTAAAATCTAGACGTAAAACTATAAGGTCACGTGTTTACTGGTAAAAAAATGTGCAACATGACGGCGGCCAATTGGGGACACTTTCAGCTGCCAGTTTATCGCTCTAAGAACCTCTACCTCGTTGGCGCAATATGACGCTTGCAAAGGGTGGAGTGTTGCCGCAAAGGGTGCCGCGTTGCCACTTGCCGACCAATTGGGGCGGGCGTACAGGTGGAGGCACAACCACGGCAGACCAGTAGAATATGACGACTGATTCTAGGGAATGCGCGTGAGATGCGCCTTCAGCCAACAATGGTGGCGCTTTGCCTATAGCCAGGGTAGGTGCCCGGGGGTGTGGCCGACACGATAAAAAGTTGACGGTGCATGGGTTTGGCATAGGGATATGGAGAGGCTGCACAAACGCTTTCTTTGTGCATTTCTTCCGACGAAAGAACACGGAGGAAAAACCATCGAGTTTTTGAAAATGGGAGTTGTTTTTGGGAGCTATAAGCAAAGTAAGATTACAAAAAGAAGAAAAACACTTTAGTTCCCTGGCGTATCATGAAAAATTCATTGCTTAAAGTGTTGGAGCGAAGCGGCTGGCCAATTAGCTAAGGCTTAGGTTCATGGCAGACGGGAAGAGGACCCGTACGCATCGTCGCCCTTGCCCCTTGCATCGTCCATGATTCAGGATCCAAAGGCGATCGTGCCGACGTCGTCAACTACGCGACACCCCGCTGGCGGCAGACCCCACCGCGCTGAGAAGAGCCCGACGAAACCGAGTCCTGCGCGGCCTAGCGTGCTCTGCTCCACATATTTTTTTTTCCGCTTCTGATGATTGGTATTAATGTGATCGGTGTTATCAAAGCAGCGATTCGGGTCAGGGCTTAGCTGCACAGCTATAGGTTCAAAAAAGAAGAAAATCAAGTAGATAAGGACTATAAATAAGCATTTCTTTTCTTCCGATTTTTATATCAATGTAGGAGAAAAAAGGCAATTATACCGGGCCCGTCGAATTCGCTCGGCACAAACCTGCCGGCCGGATTTTGTTTGGACGAATTGACACGTGGCATCTATTTTTCTGATTGGGGACGACTGCCGGCGCGTACAACTGGTACATGATCATATCAAGCAAAAAGATGAGGTTGTCCTGAATTCTAACTAATTCTATTTTTGGCACGTCATCCAGCTTCAAATGGTTGCCGGCTGTGAGGGCAAGAGCGTCCCGCTCGTTATGCCTATGAGGCTTGTCGCGTTAAGGCTAGAAATATGCACTGATTCGTCCAGTGGAGTGCAATGATGTTGAAACCAACACAAAAAACCCGAGGACACCAAACCGACTGGTGAGAACAGCTATCACATGGCGTACGGCAAGAGCAGCAGATTCAAATCGCAAACATAAACGCACACTAGTTTCGTTGTTTCGACATCCCGAACGGCGATTCCTGAATGGGGCTGATGGGGAGCTCGCGCGTGGGTCAGAAAACCGCGTTGAAACTTTTTTTTTCTCTTCACCTTTCCTTAAAATTTAATTTTAATTTTTTTAGGGAATGACGTTACTTTACGGAGTGGTACACTTTATTTAGCCTACGTAAAAAAAACTCTGACGGATATTGCCGACGCTGCCGATCAAAATGTTTACCGTTAAACGTTATCAACTGCGTACTTCAGACACACCGGAGTGCCACCAGATTTTGCGCTATTTTTAGATGATCGAATTAAAATATCATGCCTCAATATTTCGTGGTCACTACTTGTTTCTTGAGCAGCACAACCGACTAATGAGGTAATATTGTTACGGTGATTATGGTATATTCTATTTTACAATGAACGAGAGGTTGAAAGATGGCAGTCCTGCGAAATCCCAGAAACGCTGCTGCTTCCTCTTCTTTTCCCAACAGCCGAGCTCAAACTTCTTTCTCCTTTTCGGATCACTACTCGCCCGCCGGAGGAAACGGCGTCGCGCCGTTTTCAGGAGTTTTGTATGGCTTGAGTCACAGGACATGCACTGTCTGGGGGTGGTGAGTGTGCTGATTGCGATGAGGGCCAGAAGGCTCGACAATATAATTGACGTCGGACGTTTGGCGGATAATCCTGTACTTTTGGTGGAGGTGGATACTTTCCCCTACCTTTACGCCTCACCCATCCTGGAGGGCTATGTTGCGCTTTTTGCACTCCCAGGAGACTTGGAAGAGGGAAGTGACGTCAACGACACAGCAAACGCAGATTGGGTGTTTATTTCGTTTTCTTCTGTCAACATCCAATCTGCGTTTGCTGTGTCCTTGACGTCACTTCCCTCTTCCTAGTCTCCTGGGAGTCCAAAAAGCGCAACATAGCACCCCTGGACACCCGAACCCGCCGCCGCCTTCCTCCACGGGGCGAAATGCCCGATACCGGTACACCGCCCGAAGGTACGCCAACGGTACCTCGCACCTCCACCAAAAGTGTTACGGTGATTATGGTATATTATATTTTACAATGAACGAGAGGTTGAAAGATGGCAGTCCTGCGAAATCCCAGAAACGCTGCTGCTTCCTCTTCTTTTCCCAACAGCCGAGCTCAAACTTTTTTCTCCTCTTTGTATCAATATAATTAAAAGCGCAGAAGTTAGAATATAGTTAGAGGGTCCCTTGAAGTTTAATTTTACATATTTTTGTTTCCTTCAGGTATATACCATCCTTGACGCTAAATATATCACCATACGTTTTGAAGAAATAGTAAATTTGCCTGTGGCAGATATTTTACTGCTTCACTGATGTTTTGAAGGATCGTAGATCGCCTGCATCAGCTCGTATTCGTCGACTACTGCTTACCCCTTGAAAGGGAATAAGAGTGATATGTGTCTGTGGGCTTTGTGGGTTGGGTCAGGGAGGTATAATTTACCAAATGTAATAATTTAGGGAATTTAAATTAATTTAGTAATGTTAGTTTTTAGGTTGATTTATTGGCATTACTTTAGGTCTTAATCTTTGGGTTAAAGTGATGAAGAAGTATAAAGTCTCAGTTGATAGTCAGCGGTGTGTATGTCTCTATTTCTACCTGTCTGCGTTTTGTCCCTCTCGTTCAAGCTGACAATTTTCTTTTGCTTACCCTTGTTAGAAAGAAGTGTATCACGGAATACTGTTTTCTTAAGAGGTTGGGTTATGAGAGTAAAAATAATGAAGAGTGGTTTTAACGTCTGTATTGTGTCGCCTATTTCTCAAGAATAACTAAAATTTGTTGCGGAAAATAACTCGCCTGACCATTCTGAAAGGTGTATTATACAATCGCAAATAAGCTTATTTTCAAAACGCAAGCAGTTAGAATTGTTAGCAGTATAATGTGATAGCTCAATATACAACCAGGCCCCCAACTTTTCTTACTTTAGAAATTGTGTGGATAAGCATATAAAGGAAAACAAATATGCTACACACTCATTTCACAGAAGGCCTGCCGCAAATCTGATTGCGGCCCTTGTCTGCGTTCGAAACGTATAGCACCCAAGATATAGTTATTTGTGTTCTTTCTTGAAGCTTTCGTAACTTTAATATCTAAGCTGGTCCGTTCCTCTGGCATTCTACAATTTGCTTTACTTTTTTGCTAAATAAAAAATGAAACCAATTGCTTGCAATTTTCAATAAATTTCTTACCTTAAGCACCATGGTATTGTTCGACCTCCTGCTGGAGTATATAATCCAGAGTCCATTTTCGTCGGCCAGAATATTGACGTAATTTCCGGCCTGGTTTGTGTACAGGTAACTGTCGTTTCGGAAGGCCACATCTTCGAGTCCAAGGCGACCTGTTAGCCTTAAGAAAAAAGAAGCAAACAAACTAAAACAAACACCGATCGTTTTTTTTGTTTTCTTTTTTACGCGAAACGTTAAGGGGCTCGGTTTTCAGGTGAAGCGAAGCCACGAAAACGTTACCTCAAACTTCCCCGCTAAATTAAGCTGTGATAATAGCGTCACATGAGTTCATGTCACGTGACCTCCGCACAAATCCAGTTTCCCCGCTAAATTTATGGGAAGAACTGACGTCACGTGAAACGGTCACCCGACCTACGCCCAAATTAGCTTTCCACGCCAGATTTAGCGTTAAAATTTAAATCACGTTACATTAACCGAAATTCAGTTTCCACAAAAATTTTATTGGAAACAATGATGTCACAGGACTTCGTGTCATGCGATCTATATAAACGTTATTCCTTCCCTCTTGTTTTAACGTAAAGATAGAAGTCACGTGAACTCATCCCTAATACAGTTTACCCGCTAAATCTGGCAGGGAAAATGGCGTCTCATAGCTTCATGTCACGTGACCCATACGCAGATTCAGTTTTCCCGCTAAATTTAACGGCGAAAACGACGTCACATTCCTTTTGACTGCTTCGCGTTCTCAGAACTTGGTCAGCAACTAGCAACCGCCGAAAAAGTAATGCCGTCTGGTGCTTATCTTTATAGTCACTTAGTACTTATTCAGAAGCGTACTGTACTAGCCGAAGACAAAGCCATAGATGAATCACCAAGCAAGAAGCCTCACCATCATACGCCCCGCCCTCCGTTTCTGAAGCTGTCGGTGACTCTAATCACCGACCCCTTCAGAAATGTGAGCCATGGCGAATCTTGAGCAGATCTTCTCATTGCTCTCCAGCCAATGGGAGGGAGGCAATGGCCGATAAGAGCCCCGAAACACAAATCAGGAAGCACGAAGCTCGAATTTAAGCCAAACCGTGCGTTTCTCAATTCCGCGCGCTGTCGCGCACGCTCCACATCCCAGTGTTTACTGGGATGTGGAACGTGCCACGGTCTGGGGCATGACTATACCCGTTTTCACCTCAAGAACCGTAGTAAAAAAAGTCCGGCTTCTCGCGGAGTATTACTGATTTCCCCTTTTATGTAGAGAATGAAGATATATGTAGGTGAATCTTAGACTAGATATATGTTATCTTCTCAAGACATACACTTTCCAAACGCAAAAAACATCGCTTTTTACTCCGACAACCAAATCTCGCAAGAACTACTTTGCGCCGCGTATGAACAATGCGCAATACTTGCTTTTTTCTTGAGGTGAAAATGGGTATAGTAGCTATCTTGTGCTGAATTGTAGCCACCGCGCGTGCGTCCACATCCACGTGACTTTGCATCTTTTCGCCCGGTGCATAAGCGCTTGAAGGGCGCACGGTGTTTAAACGTGTGTACGTGTGCCTTGTTAACAACTAATAATAATAACGTGCCAGTGAAATGCTCCTTAAAACCTAGAGCGTCTACTTTCTCGCAAAACAACTCGGAGAGGCGATCGATGAAATCGGTTTAGAAAGCTCAGCAAATAACAAGGCTAAAAAAAGTTTAAGCTAAATTAAAAAAAAAAAAAAAACAGTCTGCATGTTCTTTGAAATTGAGCATGGCGTTTCACGTGCTTGTTTCATGTTCGCTGTCGAAACGGGAAAACAGACGTGTCGGATATTTTATAGAATTACGAGATTGAAACTGGGCGAGTCGCTACACCCTGAAAAAAAAAAATAGATCATTCACCTCATTCGGTGGCAGTTGGTAACAGAAGGACGCCACTGTATTTGGCGAACCATCGGACTTTCGCTAGTGTATTTATTTGTTATTCAACAACGCACTGTGATCGAGTAGGATTTTCGTTTAGAGAAGTACCTGCAATGCGTTGGTAAGAACCTGCGCGTATTGTAGAACGTAGTGTAAATAACAAAAGTATGTGAAACAAAAGGAAAAAAGATGAAAGCCGGAAGCGCTCATGGGTCCGCCGATAGGAGGAGCTAGCGAGCTTGTCTGCAAACAAACATCGGAGAAGGGGATGGTCTATTGGTGGATTCCTGGGGAATGCGCTAGCATGACCCTTAGAAAGGTCACACACGCCCCCTTTTGGGAAACGCTGAGGCTGTTCCCTTCACTTTTTATTTTGGCATTCTCTTTTGCTTCCTCTATTTTTTGCTGCCTCTTTTCGGTCTCGTTGCGGGGTCAGTGTTAGCGTTCCCCAAAGGGGGACGTGGGTGGCGTTTGCCAAGGGTCATGCTAACGGATTCCCCAAGGATTCACCAATGGATCTTCCTGTAATATTTTTTACCCCTTTATTGTACTCTCCTTGTGACAGTACGTCGACGCAATCGGATACGGTCATCCGTATCACTAGTTGGAATAAACCACATCCATGCCGCTCGTGGAAGGAACCGCATCCTTATCACTCGTGAGGTGAACCGCATCCATCGTTTTAACTACACACACACATCACAGCCCTCGCACCGCTGCAACCAAAACCCAAACCGAAGAGCGACAGTAGACAGCAGGGTGACAACTGAGCACACACGCATTTTACTGTGCCGCGGCGCAACACCTCCTAGATGACAAAGCCGTAGTGCTGAATTAGATGGCGTCATCAGAGAATGCCAACGCTGGGCAGAGATTCAGCACGACGAATGCGTGAACGTTCGGCTGAAACTTGACTTAAAGCCCAGCGCTGACACAGCACTTGTTTGCAATCTGTGTCCAAAGCTGGCCTTCTCTAATGACGCCATCTCATTCAGCACTTCGGCCTTGTTGCCTAGCGGGTGTGGCGCCTCCACTTCTCTGTCTCCGCCCCAGCTGTAGGCGTGACATTGCCCAAAACAAAAGGACTCGTTTTGACGAAAACACCCGTGCTCACGTCAGCGGTTCGGGCCAATGGCAGCCCCACACACGAATACTGACAGACAATAGACACAGCTGAGTTTTCGTCAAAACGAGCGCTCTAATGCTACTTTTTGTACTTTTAATATTCCTCTTGTTTTTAAAGGCATATTCTGCCAAAATAGCTTTATATTGATAAACGATAGTGTACTTGTTCAATAGGTATATCTGTAAGCTTTCGTATAATATATTATTTATGCCGTAGAATTGATTTTCACATAGGTTATTATCACCTAAAACCCGAAATCAAAAACGGTTTTTAGTATTGTCCTAGTGAAATATTTGCCTATAAGTATAGTTTTTCGAAACTTTATGAGACGTGACCCGTTTCTCCGGCATGACTTGAAGTAAAATCACCATCACTTATTTGTTGTCGATTCGCATTCCGAACTAGAGCTTTTGTTTGGATCCCGGTAATGCCTGCCCTGCTTCATTGTCTTCATTTCTTGACGAAAGCAAATTCGCACGCCTTTTTCAGGTTGTCGAAACTAGCTGTATGTGTCTTGCGTGTTTTGGTTTGTTTGTTTTGTCTGTGTGCGTTATTTCGTCCAATATGTCTAACGCCGGTTCACTCACTTGAGGGTATCTCCACCTCGACCCGGTCCGCTCAGGGCAACGCGGACAATCTGGTTCGTATCGTTCTGGTGGTAGTAGAAAGAGCCGTTGTAGACGACCTGCGCGTTCCCGTGCGCAGGCGTCGGCAGCTTCAGGATCCGAGGGTCTGAGCCGTTGCGGAAGGCCGCCTTGGACGGAAACTCGAGGAGGGCCGTCCGGTCTTCGCCGTTGGCGACGTAGAAGACGTCGGGCCCCAAGGACTCGCTGTCTCGCATCCAGTTGGTCCACCGCGACGTCGACTGTCGGTACAGCACGGGCTTTCCCACGCGCTGAATGGTCCGCCGAGTCATAAGGCATTCTGCAATGTCGGCGGCATATTTTTTTCTTAAAGGTTTACAGCAACACGATACGTTATAAATACAAATATGCATATGCCATTTAGCGACTAAATAGAAATTAACACCACTGCTTCGAAGCCAATGTCCGCAAGTATACAGTTAGGTGATGGGTTGAACTTAGATGGCCAATTCATATGGTTTAAGCGTGCATTTCATGAAATTGCAAGTTTATTTTATTTTAAGGATGCGAATATCTACAACAGACACAAGAATCAATGTATCTCTATAGATATAAATTTATCACCTAATATTACAAGATATACCAGTTGCTAGCATGCAATTATATTCAAATAATAATACTTTTTTTTAATACAGTGAAGTGACATTTCTGAATATACTCGCGAAAATAGGCCTTCTTATTTTAGTGGTGTGTTACATCTAGGAGAGAATGGGTATTTCATATATATATATATATATATATCACAGTGGTGGCCAAACTGCGACTCACGATTTGCATGCGGCTCTTCGAGGGTCAAAGTGCGGCTCGCGTTATGAGAGTACTTTTTTTAATTTCAATTTTTGGGACCAAACACTAAGCTAGCTCTTGAAAACATTAGACAAAGACACCGCTAAAAATAACACAACATATAAAATTACTGTATTGAAGGATGTGATGTTCAACACGAATAATCACTTCCCAACAAAATGTAATGGTCAGAAACAAGTGAAGCAAGTGGAAACGTATTATCATGAATAGGAGGTAAAAGCGCTAAAAAACGACGGACAAGTTGAAGAATGACGAACACCACAGAGCGCTAACTTGCAACTGAAGTTTATTACTGAAAACACGTACACATATATACACCGTGACATCAAAAAAACACAAGTGGCAATAATGCCGCTTCATCTATCTAAGGTTAATCTATGAATTGTTTACTCTTTCGAATGATTTCAAATATGCCACCTCAGAGCTATACAGGTTTACTGAGGGAGCGCTGACACACATGCCCTGATCGTACTTCAAAATAAAAAACGCCTCCGATATCTCTCTCGTTTTTTTGTCTCTATTCCGAGTTAAGATAACGGTGTTGTCAAGCCGTGGGACACACCCACATCTGTTACAGTGTACAGCCAGATTGCCCGAGGGTGATGATCTAACTGACAGGGCATGTTCCCTGAGTCTGTCGTTTATGCACCGACCCGATTGCCCGATGTACACCTTTCCGATAGTAACACAGAAGGGGTCGTGGCAGTTACAGATGTCGTCATACCTTCAACGACATCTGTCACGGCTACATTTACATGATCCTTTTAGAGTTAATAACTCGGAATGCGTGGTAGAATATCTGAAAGAATCTAATCCGGGGCCATGTGATGCAGTGTCGTTCGACATTCAAGACCTTTTTTATTCAATCCCACAGGGGGGTCTGTTTGAATCTGTTAAAGAGGCTATTGATGTTTTTGGAGTTGTGAAGTTCCAGAATGAATGTGGCGTTGATGAAGGTGGTTTCTTGGAACTGTTACGCTTCTATCTGAGCTCTACTTATGTTGTTTTTGAAGGGGTGAAGCTGTTACAGAAGGACGGTGTGTGTATTGGGACGAGCGTGGCGCCTGTGCTAAGCGATTTATTTTTGGCAAAGTGTGATAGGGATATCAAAAGTAGGTTAGACGAAGGCGTCCTTCGGGTTTTTAGGTATGTGGACGATTATCTGGTGTTGTTTCGTTCACAGGCAAGTTCAGAAAGAGCGGGTTTTATTACAAAAATGTTTGATATTTTTAAAACTAGTGCTTCGGGGCTCACTTTCACTAGTGAAAATCCCGTAGCGGGTACCTTACAGTTTCTAGATCTTAAGCTTTTACTACAGCCTTCGCATGTCTGTTGGTTTTATTGCCCAAGGGCAAAGAAAGGAGTGTTACCCTTTGATTCAAGTCACTCAAAGGTAATCAAGAGGGGCATTGCCTCGACGTGCTTAAGGTCATCTTTACAGAAGTCCTGCCCACATAAGCTAGCAGTTAGCTTTATGCTTCAGGTGACGAAACTGGAGGAGGGGGGTTTTCCACCTCCGCTCCTTGCGGGGGTGGCGGAAGGCTTACTAAAGAAACTTCGGGGGGGAGGGGAATGTGGCGTGAGAGACAAGCCAAAGTCTAGACCAGCGGTGATACCTTATGTGCATAAGGTGAGCCATAGAATAAAGAAAGTGGGGGAAAAGCATGGGGTCCCTGTACTCTTATCAGCCCCTCAAAAATTGAGTAAGCTATGTGGAAGGGTGGCACGTGGTGATGAGCGCGTAGGCGTATGCCATAAGAATCATAAAACAAGATACGTAGAGTGTAAGGAACAAGTGGTGTATAAAATTCCTTTATCATGCGGAAAGGTGTACATCGGGCAATCGGGTCGGTGCATAAACGACAGACTCAGGGAACATGCCCTGTCAGTTAGATCATCACCCTCGGGCAATCTGGCTGTACACTGTAACAGATGTGGGTGTGTCCCACGGCTTGACAACACCGTTATCTTAACTCGGAATAGAGACAAAAAAACGAGAGAGATATCGGAGGCGTTTTTTATTTTGAAGTACGATCAGGGCATGTGTGTCAGCGCTCCCTCAGTAAACCTGTATAGCTCTGAGGTGGCATATTTGAAATCATTCGAAAGAGTAAACAATTCATAGATTAACCTTAGATAGATGAAGCGGCATTATTGCCACTTGTGTTTTTTTGATGTCACGGTGTATATATGTGTACGTGTTTTCAGTAATAAACTTCAGTTGCAAGTTAGCGCTCTGTGGTGTTCGTCATTCTTCAACTTGTCCGTCGTTTTTTAGCGCTTTTACCTCCTATTCATGAATAACCAACTAGCCCAAGTACACACCCTTCTACAACGTATTATCAATTTTTAAATTCGGCAAATTCTTCGCGATCTTTCCCCGTGCTAAGGTCCAAGCAAAGTAAGTTTAGTCGAAAAATGTTTGCCTAAAATTCGTCTGTAAACTACTTGAGCCTGATACTTTTTTTTTATTTCCGAACAAGGGAAAGCCATCTGCCTAATGAACAAATACTTATCTCACTGTTCTATGCCCGCATGCAACTTTAAACCTATTAAATCTTATCTCTTGGCATTCCTCGGTTGGTTTCTCTGCTTGGTGAAAGCGTTTTGTTAACGGGAATTGAAGGTGAGCTATGGCAAAATACAACCACTGGCATAAAGCCGAAAGCACAGGGAGAAAGCGGTGTTCACACCTCACACCCCCTTCTTTGACTCCCTAAAAAGTAACACTTTTGCTTGCGGCTCTTGGGCGATGTCAGTTTGGCCACCCCTAATATTGTCACGGGTGGTGAGTCGTGACCAATAAATAAGAAATAAACAGAAATAAATAAACGTTTAATGTGGCGAACTTGTGCCAAAAATAAAGAAGGAAACAGAAGAAAGCAGAGCGTCGCGGGCGTCGAAGTCGGCGTGTCAGCAGAATCGAGCGCTGGGGCGAGACTGACTCGACAGGGTCGCGGGCGGCCTCTTATCTAGAGTGAGTCAGTATCTCGAAGATTCGGCGGAGAAGGTTCGAGCGTAGCGCGCTCGGGGCGAGAATGAACAAGCACTTTCTAGAACAACAAAAACAAGGATGAACGATAGTTATGTCCGCAGCAAGAATGAACGAGAATTTTCTACAAGTCCGTGACCCTGCGCGCGGTATTATCTCCCCCTTTAAAAAGTGCACCGTCCCGATGCAGCACAAAGCGAAGAACAACAAACAAAAACAAATCCAAAACAAAAAGGCAGCAGAATCGTGAGTCGCAGTTCACAGTTCACAGTTCACCCGTCGACGAGAGTGGAAAGTTCTATCGTTCGTAATACGGCTTCAGCCGGACGACGTGCACCACCTCGGGTCGCGGCTGACGTCTTGCAGATGGGCGCGTTCCGTCGGGTAGCACTTCGTAGTTCAGATCGCCGAGGCGTCGGATGATCTTGTAGGGTCCAAAATAGCGTTTCAGGAGTTTTTCGCTGAGACCGCGACGACGTATTGGTGTCCAAACCCATACCCGGTCTCCGGGTTGAAAGTGGACGTCCCGGCGACGAAGGTTACACCGGCGTGCGTCGACTCGCTGTTGGTCTTGAATCAGGAGTCGGGCGAGCTGGCGAACTTCTTCGGCGCGTTGAGCAACCGCCTGGGCGTCGTCGCTCTCGTTGTCAGATGGCTCATGGGGCAGCATGGCGTCCAGCATGGTCGTTACCTTCCGACCATGTACCAGCTGGAAAGGGGTGAATCCAGTGGTCTCTTGAACCGCCGTATTGTAGGCGAACGTGACGTAGGGCAGCACCTCGTCCCACGTCTTGTGCTCTACGTCGACGTACATAGAGATCATATCGGCGATTGTCTTATTGAGTCGCTCCGTCAGCCCGTTGGTCTGCGGGTGGTACGCAGTTGTACGACGATGGCTGGTGTGACTGAGTCGGAGGATTTCTTGGGTCAGTTGTGCCATGAACGATGATCCGCGATCTGTAATCAGAACTTCTGGAGCGCCGTGCTGGAGGACGATGGACTCAATGAAAAACTTGGCAACTTCCACAGCAGTCCCCGAAGGAAGAGCTTTCGTTTCGGCGTACCGCGTGAGATAATCTGTGGCGACGATGATCCAGCGGTTCCCCGACGTCGAAGGCGGAAAAGGACCAAGTAGATCCATTCCGATCTGCTGGAAGGGTGCAGTTGGAGGAGAAATGGGCTGCAGGAGTCCGGCCGACATCGTCGGAGGTTTCTTGCGTCGCTGGCACTCGTGGCATGATCGTGTGTACAGGTGGACGGTCTTGGGGAGCTTGGGCCAGTAATACTTTTCACGAATACGGGCCAGTGTCCGGCTGTATCCAAGGTGTCCGGACGTCGGGTCGTCGTGACATGCTTGAAAGATCTCCCCTCGAAGGTCGGTCGGTATTACCAGCAGCCACGGCGAGTTGTTGTTCCCGAAGTTCTCTTTGTAGAGTACACCTTGCCGAATGGTGAAGGTCGGCACGGCTCGTAAGAAAACACGGGGTACGGTACCGCCGCGCCCTTCCAGGTGCTCGATTAAGGCTCGCAGCTCCGGATCGTCTCGTTGACGTCGTGCCATGTCATCGGTGTTCACTGCGCCTAGAAAGCACTCGTCATCATCGTCGTCGCTGCTGCCGGAAGGTGTTTCGACAGGGGCCCTGGACAGGCAGTCAGCGTCGCTGTGCTTGTGTCCTGACTTGTAAACCACAGTCATGTTGAACTCTTGTAGCCGGAGGCTCCATCGAGCGAGGCGTCCTGACGGGTCCTTGAGGTTCGCAAGCCAGCAGAGCGAGTGGTGGTCCGTGACTACGCGGAACGGGCTTCCGTACAAGTACGGACGAAACTTCGTGATTGCCCAGACGACCGCAAGGCATTCTTTCTCAGTCGTGGAGTAATTTCTCTCTGCCTTGGACAGTGTCCGACTTGCGTAGGCGATGACTCGTTCGGTGCCTTCTTGTACTTGAACTAGTACCGCGCCAAGTCCTGCGTTACTTGCGTCAGTGTGAATCTCGGTGTCCGCATCCTGATCGAAATGTCCAAGAACCGGAGGCGTCTGGAGTCGTCGCTTCAGCTCGTCGAATGCCTGCTGCTGTTCCTCGGCCCATTCGAACCTCTCGGCGTCCTTCGTGAGGTTTGTGAGCGGTGCGGAAATCCGTGCGAAATCCCGAACGAAGCGACGATAGTAGGCGCAAAGTCCAAAGAATCTTCGCACGGCCTTTTTGTCTGTCGGCACTGGAAATGACGCGACGGCGCGAGTCTTCTCAGGGTCTGGGCGCACGCCTTCGTTGCTAACCACGTGACCTAGAAACTTCAGTTCGTCATAGGCGAACCGACACTTTGACGGCTTGAGGGTGAGTCCAGCGGTCCGTATGGCTTGAAGAACAGCTCGGAGTCGTCGCAAGTGCTCGTCGAAGTCGCTGGAAAACACCACGACGTCATCGAGGTAGACCAGACAGCTCTGCCACTTCAGTCCTGCCAGTACGGTGTCCATAACACGCTGGAAAGTTGCTGGCGCCGTACATAGTCCGAAGGGCATTACCTTGAACTCGTACAGCCCATCCGGCGTGACGAAAGCTGTCTTCTCTCGGTCCCGTTCGTCGACTTCGATCTGCCAGTAGCCGCTCTTCAGGTCCATCGATGAGAAGTATCGAGAGTGGCGCAGCCGGTCTAACGTGTCGTCGATTCGGGGGAGTGGGTAGACGTCTTTCTTCGTCACCGCGTTCAGCTGCCGGTAGTCCACGCAGAACCGAAGCGTTCCGTCCTTCTTCTTAACCAGTACGACTGGAGAGGCCCACGGACTGCTTGATGGCTGGATTATGTCGTCGTTCAGCATCTCTTGAACTTGCTCCTGGATCACCTCCCTTTCTTTAACGGAGACTCTGTACGCTGATCGATGCACAGGGCGCGCGTCGTCCTCGGTAATGATGCGGTGCTTCGCAACAGCTGTTTGGCGTACCTTCGACGACGTCGCAAAGCAGTCACGGTATTCGGCGAGTAGGTTCATCAGCTGCCGTCGTTTTGGGTCCGGAAGCTTAGGGTCGATGTCGAGTTGCGCTGGCGACGTACCGTCTTGCTGAGGTGGCGAGGATTCATCAGTAATGGCGGCGATTTCGGCGGAGTTTCGGAGATCCTCGACGTGGCCAACGGCTGCACCTTTCGTGAGGTGTTGAGTTTCATTCCGGAAGTTCGTAACGAGGACCACAGTGCGGCCATCCTGAAGTTCAGCTACTCCTCGTGCGATGCCTATTCCTCTTCCCAGGAGCAACTGGAGGTTACCTTCCAGAAGAACTTCGCTACGGGTAGCTGCATCGGTCACGACAGGTACGACAACACTTGATCGCGGCGGCAGATTCACGTGGTCGGCAGCGACTCGGACGGCGGCTGACGCAGTTTGGAGTTTCTCTGAAGGCGGAACAGGTGTCCGCAGCGTCAATCTGTTTTCTCCAAGGTCGATGACGGCGCCGTATTCACACAAAAAGTCCATGCCGAGAATGACGTCTCTGGAACAGTCTTGTAGAATGACGAATTTCACAGGACACGTCTCGCCGTGAATTTCGACGCGAGCGGTGCACCTTCCGACAGGCGTGATGAGGTGTCCTCCGGCGGTTCGTATCTGCGGTCCATCCCACGGCGTCGTGACTTTTCGAAGGTGGCGAGAGAGCCTCCCACTCAATACTGAGTAGTCTGCCCCGGTGTCAAGGAGTGCCGATGCGTTTTGGCCATCGATAACAACGTTTAGGTTGTTGGACACCGTTGCAGGCGCGTCGGTGCAATGCGGGGCGTCGAGAGAGTGGGAGCGCTCCGGCGTTCTTGGAGGCTGTTTGCTTCCGTCGTTTTCGGCAACGTCACCTCCAGGCGTTGCCGCACTCAGTTTTCCCGACGACGCAGAGGAGACAGGCTCTCTCGGCGGGATCGTGGCGCTGGGGAGGCTGAACGTCGTGGCGATGGGGAGCGGGCTTCACGGCGGAGAGACGACACTGGGGTGGGGGAACGTCGGAGGTACTCCTCGATGTCGTGAGGGCGTTCGCCGTACCTCGGGCGTGGGTCGTTCGGGTGGAACCCACGCAGGCCCATTTGCCGGTAGGGACAATGACGGTAGATATGGTCGGCCTCCCCGCAGTGGTAGCACAACGGGCGTCGATCGGCCGTCCTCCACACGTCGGTCTTTCGTGGAGCAGCTTGTTCTGGGCGGACGTACGCCCGATCTTCATGGCGTCGTGAATACTGCGGCGCTAGAGGTTCATGTCGAGGTGGCGCCGTATACGGGTGAGCAGGGGGCGGTGGTCGTCGGGTAGCTGCGGCGTAGCTCAGCTTCGGTGGTTCAGGAGCGGCGCTGGCGAGAACTTCTGGCTGCAGCGCCTGCTGAAGTTCTTCCCGGACAATCTCGGCGACTGAGGGCGTATCCAGGCTTGTGGCAGCAGGTAGCAACTTCTTCAACTCCTCCCGGACGGCTTCACGGATAAGGTCACGGATGTCGGGGAGGGTGGTGCCCAGGTCGGATCCAGATGTCGCTAGAGTAGTTACGCCAGGGTGTCGTTGGTAGTGTCTGGCGCGGGCTAGCAAGGCCCGTTCCATATTTGTCGCCTCCGTGATGAACTCGTCGACTGTTGTTGGGGGATTCCGGATGAGACCGCCGAAAATCTCGCTTTTCACACCCCTCATCAGGTGGTGCAGCTTCTTCTCCTCGGTAGCCTGAGGATCGGCGCGGGCGCTTAGGCGGAGAACATCCTCCACGAAGCCTGTGATGCTCTCGTTGGGGCCTTGAGTCCTGGTACGCAGTAAGTCTTCGGCTCTCTCTCGGCGGTGCTGGTTGACAAATGTCGCCTTCAGCTGGCTCTTGAAAAGGTCCCAGGATGTCAATGAAGACTCGTGATTTTCGTACCAGCTTCTTGCAGTCCCCTCGAGCGAGAAATACACGTTTTGCAGCCGTTGCTCGTTGGTCCAGCTATTGTGGCGGGCGACGCGTTCGAATTGGTCGATCCAATCTTCAACGTCTTCGTGGAGTTCGCCGTGGAACGGAGCCGGTGTCCGAGGAGCGACGGGTAGGTAGACGACGGCAGGAGCGGCGGGGGCCTGCGACTGGTTGTCCATCGTCGTCTTCTTCGGCTTGGGTTTATCCAGGAGCAAACCGTACTCCGGATCCCCTCCCTTGGTGCGGCGGCTGGTCCGAGTTTCAGGTTCCGCGCTGAGTGGTCTTCTCAGCGAGCTTGGAGTCGGGCTTGCACTGCGGGTCCTGGGAGGGGAACGCTGCACGGGCATGCGGTACCCCGCACCTCCACCAGAATGTCACGGGTGGTGAGTCGTGACCAATAAACAAGAAATAAACAGAAATAAATAAACGTTTAATGTGGTGAACTTGTGCCAAAAATAAAGAAGGAAACAGAAGAAAGCAGAGCGTCGCGGGCGTCGAAGTCGGCGTGTCAGCAGAATCGAGCGCTGGGGCGAGACTGACTCGACCGGGTCGCGGGCGGCCTCTTATCTAGAGTGAGTCAGTATCTCGAAGATTCGGCGGAGAAGGTTCGAGCGTAGCGCGCTCGGGGCGAGAATGAACAAGCACTTTCTAGAACAACAAAAACAAGGATGAACGATAGTTATGTCCGCAGCAAGAATGAACGAGAATTTTCTACAAGTCCGTGACCCTGCGCGCGGCAATAGAGCATATTTTTAGATTTTCAGAACAATTACGCCTAAAACGTATTTGCAATTTAAGACAGAACTGTTTTTTTCACGATTGATTTTAGCGCTTTCCTACCTTGATTTCGGGGTGCCCTCTTGACCCAATTAGTTTTGTTGACGGAGCTGTCGACCTTCTGAACGTTGATTATATCCGTCAAAGATCCTAGAAAATCGCGAAATAGTAAATGTTATACAAGCACACTGTGAGTTGCTAGAGGTTTTTAAATGTATTGCTTTCTCATGCGCAGATTTTCCTACGGCTTGAATTTTCTGACTCCTCGAAGTGTATTGAAATGTTTGCTAACTAGATTTCCTAGCACGGGTCTCCCATATGAATTAAGGAGAACCAGAGCTGTTTGCATAGACGAAATATTCGCACTGTCAAACTTCCAGCAGGATTGGCGGTTTCGTGTTTCGAGTGGTGCAGAGACACAGCAGCTGAGAAATAAAAACGCAAACAATAATTATAGCAAAGTATAAAGGGTCCAAAGAAGTACCAATACCATGCAAGCCAAACAGAAGTACATTCATCATAATAAATTATTTATTGTGGCCATAGCAAATCTGGAGAAATATATCATTGGAACAACAATCTGTGTAAATAAACAGAAAGAAGGGGACGTTACAAAATCGCAATGGCGCTCTTTCTAAAGTGGCGCAGTTTCTTCACGACTTAGGTCTCCACCACGCAAGGATTATGATATCTGGGTTAGCAGTCTGTAATCTACGCGCATTTGCAATGCCTTGCATTGCCGACGCCATAATTGTTTTGTCTAAATTTAGCGACCGAACAATACCTACAAACATTGAATATCTATTGTAAATCCCCTTGTATTGAATTCGCCAAGAACACTGGCCACAGAGCTTGCTTAAACAGACCAAAAATAGCATGATTAAAAACTAGAATCTAGAAAAAAAAAACAGCCTTGTTATCCCACCCTTTTCTATCAATTGCATTCCCTATCAAGTACACCACTTTAAATAAAATTGTCTTAGTCCGCCTTCATATTTATAGGCAAGCCAAATTCAAATTTTCTCGAACTGGCTGGCAGAAGAACTCACCGGGACCACATGCCATCTGCCTCCTGGTGGGGCACTCAGGGCAGCGTTTGCAATCGCTAAGTGTCTCCTTTGTGGGAGGTACTGCGAAACAAAGACGTGAAGTGAGTCATTGGAGCGTGAGTTACATGCTATGGTTGTAGTCTTACAATGACCAGCGATTCGCTCTCCATCATCCACGTCTTCGCCCGTGGCTAGATCCTTTTCTGTAATAAAAAAGTATGGCAATACGCTTTCATGGTTTTAGGTAATTTTCAGTGCTCTCGTGAACCATACGTTTATCTTGACTATAATAGCAGTGCCGAATTCCTGAGGTAATAATATATGTTGACATTATACTGACTTATTTTGAACTATATTGTCACGCAAATGTTTATACAAAACGCAACAGGAAAGGCAATCCTAATCTTCACAGATGACCAACCTTGAGCTTACTAAATCATCGAATTAAAATACCCTCCCCACGCTTAGTCATGGGCAAGTAGGATTCCACGCGTTCTTTACGGACGTTTAAATAGTGGTGTCCGACACCACTCCATTGTACGTTCGCGTGAAACAAAGATAAGCAAGTTGTTTTTATTTTTGCTGTTTTAGTTATAAGTGAAGACAACTCTAAGCAAATAAGCATAAAATGTCAAGAACGAAGGCAAGAAACGAAAAATCGCAGTGTTAATTAGAAGATGCGGCGTTACTAACTATGGCCGCGTCCGTAGTGCTGAAGGCCTGTTTCGCCTCAAGGAGCTCCAAATGAAAAGTTCAAACCCAGGGAGGTCCTTTCTCCATGCAAGAGTCTTTGAAGCGTCGCTCATAACCTCAGTTACTATGTGAAAAAAAAACTTCAATAATTCCTTTTTATAATTAACTCGGATTTTAAATAATAGCGCTTAGCCCACGTTGATACAAACTGAAGCGTTTTTTTTTAGGTGGAACAGGCAATTCGTCCGCTTTTATGTAAGCGACATGTGAATCTATACCTTGTTTTAGTTTAAGTCCAGACGCAGCCGAAGCTACGAGCTAATGGGAACAATCAAACAGCGTCAAAAGCGCAATTAACTGGGCCTTTTATGTTTATGATTGGTTCAGCGACTCAACAGCACGTAGAGAAAATAACTAACACCATGATGGTGCCCTTTAAACACAGTATGATTTCTCCCATCAGCTCGTAGCGTCGGCTGTGTCTGGACTGAAGGTGAAAGGAAGTATAATCACCACGCCTGTCTTCGGCTAGTGCGTATTAAGTCCGACCGCCATCCGATGGAGCGAAGCAAACAGCGCCAAAGAAGTGCATTGTCACAGCGCTCGTCGTCTTTGAGCGTTTACTATGGATCACGCCGAAGAAAAGTCGCAGGAACACGTGACATTTAGTTCGCGTGATTGGTTTAGCCAGGAATAGCATATGTACAAAAATGGCGGGTGCGGTGACGATGCACTTTTTGGTGCGATTCACACCGTCGAATCGTAGCATCTGCTTCGGTCGGGCTTTCAGTGAAACGGTGCGTGGACCGGAGCCCTTAATCTGAATATTTGGCGAACAAGTCGGCGCGAAATCAGGCAGCCGTGATAGGCCGACGCCGCACTTGTCCTTGCTATTGGCCGATCAGAGCCGCCGGATTTCTCGCCGACTTTTTTGCAAAGTGTCCCGGGGCCCTAAACGCGTCAAGCACAAAGTTTGAGCCGAAGTTCACGGAGCGCACCGATTGGACGATCATGGCGTTGACTTCGCGATTTTGTCGCCAACGTCTGATTGGCGCGCTCCACGAACTTTAGGCTCGAACTTTTTGTCTGACGAATTTAAGGCCTCGCGTGCTCTAAACTCGTCAAATACAAAGTAGGAGCCGAAGTTCACAGTCAGTCAGTCAGTCAGTACAACTTTATTGGTGCCCGAAAAAGGAATTAGGAAGTGGTGAGGAGCCCACTAAGGCCCCCCCCCCCCCCCTCCCCTCAGACGACGGCCAGGATCTTCTGGACCCTGGCGGCGTCTTCGGCCAGTCGGACTAAGTCTTCTTGGACCCGAGGGTTCGAGCTGAGCAGAGTGGTCTCCCAGCTCTCTTCATCTCTGAGCTGCGTGAATAATTTATTCGCGCAAGCGCCCCTGTCTATGTTACTGCACTCCCACACCATGTGTTTCAAGTTCGTCCTCTGCCCACAGAGTTTGCACGCGCCCGTGTACCTGTCCGGGTACCACCGATTTAGTAAAGCCGGACACGGATAGGTGTTCGTTTGCAGACGTCTCCACACCGTGGACTGTCTCTTGTTCAGCGAGTGGTGCGCGGGGGGAAAGCTCCTCCTCCCGTCCGTGTAGTGGTCGAGAATTTCTCTAAATGTCACCAGCCTGTCTCTCCCGGACGACGCGACGGGGGCCCCAGACGTTGTGCCGGCCCGGACGGTAAGTCCTCGGGCCGCGTCATGAGCCTCCTCGTTGTCAGGAAGCGACGCGTGTGCTGGTGTCCACACGAGTCTCACTCTTTCTCTCCCACCGAAGCACGTCGCACCCCTGAGGACCCCCAGAGTCTTCGGCGACACTCTCCCTTTGGCGAAGTTGCGAACCGCGCTCTGCGAGTCACACACGATTGTCCTGACGCCGGGCATGCTTAGCGCGAGCGCCACCGCCACCTCTTGCGCCGCCTCCGGGTCGTCGGTCTTCACGCTGCAGCTCGCGACGAGGTGTCCGTCACCGTTCACCACCGCCGCTGCCATGGCTCCTCTTCCCTTGTACTCGGCCGCGTCGACATACGCGACCCCCTCCTCTTGTTTTAGCGTTCTTCCCAAGGCTTTGGCCCTCGCCTCCCTTCTCTTGGCGTCGTGTACAGAATGCATGTGCTTTGGGATGGGGGAAATCTGCAGCATCTCCCTGATGTGTAGGGGAACGTCCACTTTCTCGCCTCTCTGTGTCTCATACCGGAGGCCGAGGCTCTTGAGAATGTGCCTGCCAGTTGCGCTCCTCGTGAGCCGTTCCAACTGGGCGGTTCTTTGAGCCTCGATGAGCTCGTCGATGGTATTGTGTACCCCGAGGGCCGCCAACTTCTTGTTTGACGTCGAGTCCGGCAGCCCTAGGGCTCGCTTGTATGCTTTCCGCACTATACATTCCAGCTTGGACTTTTCGGCCACTCCGAGTCTCATGAAAGGAACCACGTACGCCAGCCGACTCATCACAAAAGCTTGTACCAGGCGCATGAGGTTGCTTTCCTTCATCCCATAGTTTCTGTTGGAGATCCTGGCGATGAGCCGGGCGACCTGATAGGCCGTCCCTTTTAGGGCCTGTATCATCTCCCTGTTCTTTCCATCTGCCTGTATGCGCAGGCCTAGCACCCTGATACTCTCGACCTGGGGGATGCGGTGCCCTTGCGCGAAGAGTTCGATGGTCGATTTCTCCTTCCCGCCGCGTTTGGGTCTCAGCAGCAAAAGCTCGGACTTCTGCGGAGAGCACGCCAGTCCCCTGGGAGCTACGTACTCTTCTACCACCCGGATTGCCTCCTGCAGTACTTCCTCTATGTAACCGTCGCTGCCGCCAGTCACCCACAGCGTGATGTCATCAGCGTAGATTCTATGCTGCAGTCCGGCTATCTTCTCAAGTTTCGCGGGCAGGCAGATCATCGCCACGCTGAAGAGGTACAAGGACAGCACCGATCCCTGTGGCGTTCCTTTTCCCCCAAGGCAGATGTCTTCGGACTCGACCCCGCCGACCGCCAATCTCGCCTTCCTCCTGCTCAGGAAGTTCTGGATGTATTCATATGTTCGCTTGCCCACGGCCAGCGCCCTGAGGTTGTCGAGGACTGCGTCGTGTATAATGTTCGAAAGCCTTCGTCAAGTCCAGGCCCAGGATCGCTTTGGTGTCGAGAGGGGAGCTCCCCGTTCCATCCACTATCTGATGCTTAAGGCGCAGCATCACGTCATGAGTGGACAGATGCGGCCTGAAGCCGACCATGGTGTGCTCCTCCATGTACCTGTTCAGCCTCCCTAGGACGACGTGCTCCATGAGCTTGCCCGCGCAGGAGGTTAACGAAATGGGTCTAAGGGAGTCCAGCTGCGGCCTCTTGCCCGGCTTGGGGATCATTACCACCTTGGCGGTCTTCCACTGCTGGGGGATAAAGTCCCCCTCCCAGCACGCGTTCATGTATCGCGTTATGCCGGTAACGGCTCCGTCCCCCAGATTGCGTAGCATCTTGTTCGTTACTCCGTCGGGACCCGGGGCCGACTTGGTCTTGAGTCTGAGCAGGACCTCCCTCACTTCCGCTTCGGTGATGGGCACGTCCAACGCATCGTTCCTCTCGCCGTCGTACTCCGTAGGAGCTCGGGGTGGGCCGTCCCCTAGGTACCTCTTGCGGATCTCCTTCATGAGGTCGTTCTCACTCCCCTCATGGCGACGCAGGATCTCGCTCATCTTGTTCTTCTGGGCCGTCTTGGTGCCGTCTGGATCGAGCAGATGCCGAAGGATGTTCCAGGTCTTCGGAGCGCCAAGCTGGTGGTCGAAGCCGTCGCAGGAGTCTTGCCACTGCTGTCGCGTGATCTTGCTGGCATGTGCTTCAATCTCCTTACTTAACTTGGCGATCTTACGCCGAAGGTTGCGGTTGTGTCTCTGGATCCTCAACCTCCTCTGCATGCTGGACTTGGCCTCCCACATGTGCAGGAGCTTACTGTCTGCAGTCAGCATGTTCGCCTCTTCTGGCACGGTCTTGGTCGCGTGCTCGGCGCAGGCCCTCAGCTTTTCCGTCCCCTCCTCGATGTTCTCAATGTCATCTTCCTCAAACTCTTCTAAAAATCATCTGAAGGCGTCCCACTCTGTAATCCTAATCCTTCTGCCCTTCGATTTCCCCGGGCCGGCTGTGACCGTCGCCGCCACCACGAAATGGTCGCTGCCCAGATCTTCCCAGGTGTTGATCCACTCCGCTCCTTTCACGTTCCGGACGAATGCTAAATCCGGCGTGGTGTCCCTGTGCCTTGCATCTCCCCTCCTAGTGGGTTGATCCGGGTCAGTAATCAGAGTCAGTCCTCTGTCATGGGCGACATGCCAGAGGTTCCTGCCTTTCACGGTCTCCGTCAGGTACCCCCAGTCCGGGTGCGGCGCGTTGAAGTCGCCGACCACCACGAGGGCCTGTTGCTTTGCGATCTCCAGGGTCGGGTCGCCCGGAAGAGTGCGGCGAACCTGTGACGCTTGGCGGGGCTGTGTGGTCAACCCATCGAGGCCGGCTGCCTCGACCGCTTTCCACCGTTGATGCTTCCTGCTGCGTATGCTGCGCCTTTTGCCTGGTGTCGGCGTTCCACGTCACTTGTTGGTTTCCACTGGCGTTCTTCTCTCTCACGTGTAGAGGTAGTGGCCCCGGCTCAAGCCTTCTTTTACACTCCTTGCTCGCCGTCTCATGTGGCTGGTCACATATCTTGCATCTGGGTTGACATTCATGGCCCTCTGGGTTCACCTTTTCCCCGCATCTTGGACACTGGTTTGTGTCCGGGTGTGGGCAGACGTCCTGTCGGTGGCCTACTTCGCCGCAGGCCTTGCAGTACTGCACAAACCTCCTGTGCGGTCTGCACCGTGTGTATGCACTGCCCACCTTTACATACAGCGGCACGTGGGGCCCCTGAAAGGTTAGCAGCGCCGAGTTGGACTTCCCTAGCATTCTTGCGTGCATTATGTTGTGTCCTTTCGCGGACAGTAGTTCCATCAGCTCCCGTTCAGACGTCTCGGCCTCGATTCCGTGTACCACTCCTCTCACTGTTCCGGGTATTGGTTTGAGGTATGGTAGAAGGTCGTAAGTTACAGTCCCCAGCTGGACCTTTGTAACCTCATGGAGTTTCAATGCAAAGTCTTCGCTCGCCGTGCTTGCCACGATTAGATTTTGTGCCCACTGCGTCTCGATTGTCACGTGTGCGTACAACTCCTTGGTTGGTATTACGCTTGCCATCGCCAGGCCTTGCGATATGGCTCGGTCTGTCCACGATGCCACCTTCATCCCTGCCCTCGGCCTCAAGACGACCTTGTACTCGTCCTCCGGGAGTGGGGGAAGCCTCCTCCATCTCTGGGAAACTCCAGCACCACCCCTCGATCGTTGGTTATTGGTAGCTTGCCCCATTGATCCCGCCCCGTCGCCTCTCTTCTTCTCTTTTTCAACGTCTCTGCGGTCGTTGAGGATTGTAACCCACCGACCGTTTTGGTCCAGGGTCCTGCCGCTGTCCTCATCGAACTCCGCGGTCACTTCCTCCGCGTTTTTGTCTTTTTCGTCCCGCTTGTCGATTTCATTAGATATCCTTTCCGCCGCAATTTGCGTCATCTTTGTTTATACGCACCGCGCCTAACGGGTGTTCTCCCGGTCAGACCTAAGGTTAGGTTCAACGTTAGCTGCTCTCGGCCACACAGGTGTTGACGCCTGTTCGTTTCACGAGGCTTAGCTTTTCTTCCCAGTGGTGCGACTTCAAGAAGAAAAATTTGGCTTTGAAAATCTACTCACAGGAATAAATGAGGTATCCCTCGATTCTGCTTCTCTTGAAGAGTTCGCTCGTACCATAATTTTGGAAGAACTTCGCATAAATCCGCAATAATTGCCGCAAATTGCGGGAGCCCATGTCGAGCCCGAGAGCCCCCTCCCTTCGTCGTCGTCGTCCCCCAAGTTCACAGAGTGTAGCGATTAGACTATCTCAACGACGACTTCGTGTTTTTTTCGCCGGCGTTCAATCGGTGTGCTCCACGAACGTTCGCCTCCAACTTTTTGTTTGTGGAGTTTAGGGCCCCACGTCTTCTTCTGGCAGTATGCCTCCATGTCGTGGGCCATCTTTGGTCGAGCATAACGGTAGACCAGTCGCACCAGCCTGTTTTGTCACACAACGGCTGTCGCTGTGCATCGTGGAAACTGTGAGTTTTCTACACGCATGACAATCCCGCTGCGGGTCTGTGTTAGTGAGCGGAGTAGGAGACGGCACGTGCTGTCTCGTACACTCACCTCCTTCCTGGGCTACATTTATTTTCGTCGCGCGTGCGTGGAATGCTTAGTGAAATCCATCTATTCTTACTACAGCTATAAGGCTGGTTCACGTATTGCGAAGGTTGCGTTCGCAACAAAGAAAACGACGGAAATGAACAGAACTCCGGTAAAGTCGCGACACAAGGTTTCTTCGCGAAGCTTCCTTTTGAATCGCTTGCAACCTTGTGTACAGCGAACACTTGTCCCAGAGACTTCGTCGTTACTGTCGTTTTGGTTATTGCGAACGCTACCGAGACAAATACCTGAACCAGCATATATTAGTAAACGCGAAAATGGTTCGTAGCCAAAGAAAAAAAATATCTTGAATGTTATGTTCAATTTCTGATAGAATTGTAAAAGAAGTCACTTTTTTTTTACAATTATCTTAAAACAAACGCTTTTTAATATCAGGTCTGTCTACTATGTCTACTTTTACCATTTTTGACTGAAACTATTGGAAAACAGGCTCTTTGGAAATAAAAAAAAAAAAGAAATGGAATTCATGAGTTAACACTGCACCGAACTTCGGCGTTTAGAGACAATACTTACGTTGAAGTTTACACGCTAACCAAATAAAAGTTTATATCGCAAATAAAAGTCACACTGTGGGTAAACAAGCCCGCAATATCTTGAGGAGTTGTTGCAGCGCATTTTAGATATTATGTTTTGTTCTTTTTTCCAGAGACTTAGACCATTGTTCTTGAACTGCAGCGCAGAGAGGTTTATGCTCAAGCATTTGCACTAATAGCAATGCCTAGGAATATACTTCCTTTCCGAGACGCGATTCGATTCAATGTTTAGTTTTCTTTTCATAATGTGCATGCAAATCAAATTGAAGTTTTTTTCGAATTAATAGAACTAACCGCCACATGCCATCTGTCTTTTGTGGGGGCACTCAGGGAAGCGGGTGGTGTTTACTTGGAAAACAGTTAACTTTTATACGAGTGCAGTAAAAGTACAGACATGTATTTGTTTCTTTTCTCATCAATGTCAGCATATTGAAGCAGACTGCTTTTGTGGGATGATTTCCAAGTCTAGAGAGTCACGAAAAGTTCTTACGAAAACTTGATAACAGCAGCGTGCGATGATAACGCGGTTGGTGCCACTATTTCTGCGTTGACCACACGACCACGTGACATCATTGCTGGGTCGAAGTGTCACGTTACCAGTCTTGGGTAGTAACGCGTTACTAGGGAATTGTAGTAGACCGTTCTCGCAGCCCGCTTAGCACCCGGATAGCGCTCCGTAATCCGCCAAGAGACCTTGAATTATGCAGAGAAGGCTGGCGGCGCGCATGCGCAGCTGCGGCGTTTTCTTCGGGGATACCGTAGCGGAGGAGAAAAACGATCTACTACAACTCCCTGATAGTAACGCGTTACCGTAATTTTGTTACATTTTGGAAACTTGTAACTGTAACGAGTTGCTTTTTAAAATGTAACTTGTAACTGTAGTTTTATTACTTTTTCTGAGGTAACGAGGAAAGTAACGACGTTACTTTTGTCGTTACTTTCCAGTTTTTCATGAATAATTTATCACTGAACGAGTACAATTTAGTCATTCTTTGCGCTTTCCAAATTGTCTGTTCCGACATTTCGAGTGTGAAGTTATTTTTTGCACAAACTTGTGAATGAGTTCTTTCTCGCCAGTCACGACCCGAATATAGCCACGTGTAGATTTGCTGAAAAAAAGTAGTTATCTTTAGCCCGCGCTTGTACTTTGTGACTGAACACTTCCATCTTAGTATCTTCAAGAACTATCTCTTTTGCGCTTTTTCTTTTTTCTGGGCAAACGCTTTTAATCGGGTGAATCAAACGTTAAATAACAATACACACTGAGGGCACTGCGAATGTTTCGTATTTTGATTAGCGCCACTACTCCGCACTGTGCACGTTTCGTGTTTTGATTTGCGCCACTACTCCGGGGTAGTGTCAACAGTCGAGGCAAAATTTACTGCTGTTTGTGCGGGGCTTGTTTCTGGCTTGCCGGGTACGAACTGAAATATGTCCAGGGACTCTATGAACCCAGCGCAACCGTCAACGAGTTAGCAATGTGCTAGTGCTACCAAGGATATGAATGTTGATAAGAACAAAGAACTACCATGGCCGGCGTACAGAGAGTATTTTGCTGTGGTGGAGGGGGTTACTAACAACTTGACCGCAGAAAACGGCACTCTGTTGCCTCAACGCCTACCCGGCAATCAAAAACCTATTCCGGCGAAACAACAGAGCAATCCAATCCAGTGCGTTAGACAAGCGCCTGTTCAGCAAGGGCAGGGACGTGTTCATTAGCAAACAAGGGAAACTTTCAGACACTAATTTCGAGAAGCAACTGCTGCTAAGTTACAATATCAAGTAAAAAAAGCACACTTCTTAATTTTATGCAAATAAACTTGGTGAAAAGCGTTTTCCAGTTTTTCCTATTTTTTTGTGTGTTATAGAAAAGTAACTGAAAAGTAACGTCGTTACTTTTTAAAAGTTACTGTAACTGTAACGAGTTACTTTTTTTTGTTTCGGTACCTGTAGCGGTAACTTCGCTACTTTTTTCTAAAAGTAACTGTAACTGTAACGAATTAATTTTTAAAAGTAACTTACACAAGACTGTACGTTACCACGTGACGTGGTAATGGAATTGGTTATGCGTGATCATGTAACGCTAATGACGTCACGTGGACCACGCCCACTGTATTTAGCGGAACGTATCACATATCACCTTATAACGGAGCCTCAGCCTGCACCCTACGTGAATCTGCTTATATGCAGGATAAGGATTATCTTTTTTTACTGTTTAACAACTTTATTTTGCCATTCGAGCGGGAAATGTCGTTCCCTCGCACTCACCGTACACAGACAGCTGCCCCGAGGCTTGACCGCGCAAGTTGCGGCTCACGCAGCTGTAGTATCCCAGGTCCTCGGACTCGATGTTGCTGATGTTGAGTGTCATGAGCGCCTTGTAGCCCTCCTCCACTTCCTTGATCTCGTGTTTGGGGCTGTGCTCGATGAGGCGCCCCGTGCCGGTCATCCAGGTGTTCACGGCCGGTGGGAAAGCCTCCACCACGCACTCGAGCAACGCCCAGCCGCCGATCTCCGTGCCGACGGCCCATTGCTTGATGCGAATGAAGGGCGCGACTGCAGATGGCGACAGCGAATGATCGAACGCACATATCCGACTACACTTTATTATTGACAATGACAGCTTGGGAAACTCAGGCCGTCGTTTACTATGCTCGTGCACATTGCCTTCTGATTCGTTTTTAAGCCTTCTTGACGTTTATTATTGCACTCTTCATTGTCTGCATGCAGAACGATGATGAGATGTTCGAAAGTCGCCACGCGTCCTGCGTTAATTAAAGGCACACTTAATTAAGGCTTGTAAGATCAGGAATACGTTCAGACAGAAGTCGAACAGGATCTATAGTACCTGTAAATGGTAAACGAACACTTGTTTTTTAGGCGATGGCTATATTTATTTTTGTTTAATGCCGGACTTTGGCGGGCGCTTCAATATCAATCATCGGAGTGCGTAATACCTGTCGGGATATCTCTCGCTCCAGGTTGCACCAGTCACGTCATCAGTTTTCTCGGGGCCAAGCGTATCGTAGCTATGTGCTTTGTTTTCTTAGTTTTGTCAACGCTTTACAACCTCACTTTGTTGAGGTACCCGAGGACTGAATGACCGCACTACCGAACCATCTCCACCGCCGCCACCGCCTTCGCGGAGGGCTCACGCTGCAGGCTACCAGCGGTAGGATTTGTGGAATGAGCCCTTTCGGAAGTCAGCTGCCGAATGAAAACAAATCTGACCTACCTTTACTGGTGGATCATCTGACACCACGGAACGTGCAACTGGCGCGAACGATAGCTTCGACTTGTGCTTTCATAGCACAAGGGCTCGAGCAGCCGGGGCGCAATCAAACCCAAAAAGCCGGTACTTCTTTCAGCCCTTGTGCAGGGCTTCCGCAACGTCCAACAGAGGGCACACTTTCGAAATGGGGTTTATGCAAATTCAACACGAAGATAATTACGATGATAACTGTGTCAGTCAGCTACGTCGGCACCGACCTGCTTGTAGAGAGATTGCTGTCAAACGACGCGGTTATTCGGTAGAGCCATGCCGTTGTTTGGTTCACGTACTACTTAGCACCTTTGAGCTTCTTTCGAAGTATAATGTCCTTACTACGAAAATGATTGCCGAACAAGCGTGGGATACGACACGAGTGGGATGGACGAGTGCTGCGGGCAGCTGCGGTAGTTCGTCGTCGTTCGAAAGCTGGAAGTCCAGAGCACCGGCGTCTTATGATACTCGATACACCACGCTGCTGCCTAAGCCTTAAGCCGCACAATAGTACACCGTCTCGTAGTAAGCGCACAAAGTAAACAGGAATGCAGCGCAATGCTCGTTGAGGACGGAAGAGATGGTGCGACCCATCCCGAGCTTAGGCGAAAACGTTCTGTTTGATCCATGTGCCGTCGGGCTCTTATACAACGGGTAGCGTCGACATCTTTCTGGTTTGCGATGAATGACGCATTGATTGCTACAGAACATTTGATCTGTCCACCGAAGCAAACAATCTGTTTTGAAGGCGACGACCGCCCGGCCGTCATCTTCGTCAACCCGGGAACGGCTCTGTAAAGCTTACCGACGCAACACAGCCTATCCCACTCATCGGCGGTGGCGACCTTCCAATCTATCGTACTCGCGTACAGGCCTGATTTGTATACACTAGTACGCACCGTACTCTCTTGGCGCAGCACTGCTCTTAAGGGTCCAACGTAGAGGGCCTGGATTATAGAGTGTTCTAACTGCTCAACCGGGGGTCATCTGGTTCATTAGCCGTATTTGAAATACTATCCTGCGACGAGGTGCCGAAAGCGTTGATCGTCTGCAATCTTCTCCGCCCTTCCTCCTTCTTTCGTCCTCGCCACGCATAAGCGCAGCGCATGCGCACTTGCGACTATTCGCCACAGGAGGCATCCGCCGTTAAATTGCAAGCACCCCCCATGGTTTGACTTGGACCTTTTCTTCAATCTGGGTTATTTAGTCCAATGACGACAGGTCCCTCTAACCAAGCGTCAGGAGCATCCGCTAGGTCAAATTTGTTTATTTAATTTGCTTTTCAAACACATTTTCTCACCTTTTTTCATGCAACGACAGGTAACGTTTCTGAGGTATTTGTATTTGATAGGCCATATTTAGAAAAAAAAAAAAGAATCACCAACATTTTGTCCCGTACCCCTTTTGAGCTTTAAATGACTACAGTCAGTGATAGCTTGACGAAGGCAGGGCGTGGGTTCGTGATCCATTCTTCGACGTTGTTATCGGCTAATGAGCATCAGCTGCGAAGCGGTAATAAGGCGCCCAAGACTTGACACGCCCTCATCTTTACAAGCTAACAGTAATTATACGGGCAAATTCATATACCACCACTCCTCTAGAACCCAACTAATGACCTTGGTGCCGACAACTTTGCGTAGTTGGAACGGCTGGAGGCAGGCAGCCTCCGGGGTATTCTCCTTTGAATAAAAGGGACTGGCTGCCGCATCTATCGTCGTGGGCACTCGTCAAGACAGCGTAGACAGCCGTCTCTGCTGCCTCGGCGAATCCGGTATCTCGGTACGCCGTGTGCGGCTTTCTCTCTCAGCGCCGTGTGAACGCGGGACTGCGTGCAAGGCGTGGTCCGCGTGCGTTCTCTCGGACGCGAAGTGCCCATGCCGCTAGCGATTAATTTTCTGCTGTAGGCACGCTGCCTACTGAAATTAAGCGGAGTGGGAGGTATTATCTTGAGAATATATTTGATTTTCGTAACTCTTACATTGGCGAGCACAGAACTTTCGAAAGCTCGTTTTCTGGGCGAGAAATGACGCGTGAAAGGGCTGTATATGCCTACGCGCCGTTCGATGTTTTGGAGAAGAGACTTACGGCGCGAGCTCAGAGCGCATCCCACAGCCCAGTGGACATAGATGCAACGTACAGATATTTGAATGGTCGATACGCGAGTAGAAAATTATTTCAAATAGGAAGTTAGCGAAACTAATTTTAATCCTAGCCGTTTATTTTTAACGCGACATGGCGCATTCAAGTGGATCTAGGCAATAATATTGTGGGCAGCTGTCCGTTGTTCTTCATTGTGTCTTCCTCAGTGTGTGTTCTTCGAGTCTTCAAGTGCAGCGACTGGGTAGGCCGCTTTCCTTGTGGAGAGCACTGTGAGGGAGGCGGCGACGGCGATAGGGCACTGGCGCGAACGACTATCTCGCGCCAGGGAGCACGTGCTGGACCGGCCTCCATAAATCCTTTGCGTGATCCGTCATATTCTCTATTGCCCTCTCTGCTAATGATATCATCATCGTTGCAATATAGAATTGGAGTTTATTCCCATATTCCGTTGTTCTTGCAGCTCCAACGCAATGCAAGAAGAAATATATAATGAAATAGACATCGCTGCTCGACAACAAATGAAAATGAAAAGTAGGACTATATTCGTTTGCCTAACAAGGACAGCATACAGCGTTCAGCGACCTATGCTAACGTTTCCATGAATACTTTGACACTTCAAGAACATACTTGAATTGAAAAAGATAGGTTAATAGGTGCAAAAAGGTCTTTAAAAAATGTGCAAACTATTTGTACATTTTCCTGTCATTTGTTTTTTTGTGGATACGAATAACAAAAACTACACCGACGTGTAAAAGACGCGAAACTATACTTTCCCGCAGCGTACTTGGCGAGCTAATCAGGGACAATCTTCCTTATAGAGTAGCCCCTCCCTAAATAACCTAGCTCTAAATATCTAAAGAGTGTTTGCAATTTTAATGACGGAAGCCTCCAGCGCAGTTTGCTAAAAGGCATCCTTTCGTCGCCGACGTGGCGAAGATGATATCGAACAGAGAGGATGGGCGAAGCTGGGAGACGCGTGGAAACGATAGATACTACTCGCCTCCTCCTCGTATGCGTATTTCAAACGCGGGCAATAAACCACGTGACCAGGATCATTCAGCTGGAAACGCTCTCAAATCAAGGCACGTTATGACTGACCTGTCGTGGTAAAGTGGTAATTTGAGCTAGTTGGTACATCGCAAATATTAAACAGCGCACAAAACGTCGGCAAAAGAGAAAAGGACAGTAGAACCATAGAGCGCTGACTCCCAACTGATTTATTTAGACAGAAGAGAAAAGAAGGAAAAAAAAGCCACGAAAATCGAACGCCACTTGAAGACAAGGTATAGGAAATAAAGAAGAAAATGAAAAGGAAGAAAATATGTACAAGCTAGATCGATAAATTAAAAAAAACAAAGAAAAACAATCGAAAAATAAAAAATAAAACAAAAAAAAAATAAGAAATAAATCGAAAAATTAGAAAATGGTACTTTAACCCTTGGCCGGCCAACGTTACTGCGCATAGGCGTTGGCCAACGTCCTTTTTTCTTTTGCCGACGTTTTGTGCGCTGTTTATTATTAGACCTGTCGTGGGCACAGGGGAATGTTTATAGCGTGGGAGTTACTGGTGCAGACGAATTTTCAATTCCCTCCTTGTCAGCAATGCAATTACTACAACTCGTTGATTATCTTGCGATGGTTTGTGGCACTCCATTTACTTATGTCTTGAGCGCATCTTCCTCCTTCGTGTGATCTCTATCAGTCGTACGAAAAGAAAGTTAACGACGGACAGTATACCTTTCACTTGAGTCACTCGAAAACGTGTGACACTACTAAAATCGCCTGAATACCTCATGTGAGAAAATATTAAATAACCATGATATAAAATTATTCGATTAACTGGAACATTATTGCCTTAGTTACTGAGTAATTTCTTCACTCAATAATTAGTCAAAAGTAGACCAAAACGTCATTTTGCTTTATACTAAACGTTAAGATTGTAGTGACTGGCAAGAATTTCGGACCCGCGGGACGCCATGTTATCTAAATTCCCAACAGCTAATGTTTTACACCTAAATTTGAGAACAATATAGAGTAGCTATCACAATCCAAGGTCCTACAGGAGCCATACCAATTTCTATCATTGAGTTTTGCTTTCCGTATTCCTATTGCCTGCTGTAAGCGGCATATCTAAAATCAGAAAACCGTCGCACTTTTTTTTTATTTTGTCCGCTGTCTCATATTTTAAGAAAGTAAATATTTCTACGTGTCTTTAACATATCTCACGTTTCTTAATTAATTAAGTAGTACGTACTGGCTGGCAACAGGATGTCAGTAAAAGAGTGCATACATTTTTTTTCGGCCCTCTCCTCTACTTCAGCCATTTACCTGTTGCATTTCCATAAATGCAAAAACATTTGTAGTTAAATTAAATAGATTTTCTTTCAGTAAACAAAAATACTCTTCTTGAATAGCTGAAAGAGTAGGAATCCCGGTAATTATCTATTGTGTACGCATGTTGTTATATCGTTGTTCCGCAACAGATTAGCATTTTATTGAACTACATTAGACAGATAATCCAGTTTATTGATAAATATATAGACAATTACAACCTGTAATTGATACATGGTCCTAATTGATATAACTGATCAAAAACAATAATTATGATCGGTAGAAATGCATGCTCTGTGTCTAGAAGTCCCAGAGTGTTCAATTTCAGTTTCTTGTGGGTAGTGCAATCGAATTTAAAACTTACTGGTTCTCTTTCATGCAGGGACAGAATCAACAAATATGTGTGATGATCTAATTTAACAAGTAAAGTAACAAATCATCAAATTTAAGAAGTAAAGTAACAAATACAGTACGATGACTAAATATTTAAAAAAATATATTGATTGAATCAAGTTGTTTACATTTAATGCTCGTGCGAGATAATGATGCTTGCATTAACTTTTTTACTAGAAATTCGCTATCATGATCAGGAATTTCGCCCATCTGACAAACATCGGGAATATTACAAGCTGAGTATTTGTGTGAAATATATAGAATATTTTATGTGCAGTTCCCTTTTCCACAATGATAAATTTACGGCCTGGAACATCATAGTAAAAAGCAAAGCCGTCTTCTCTTACACCTGACTTCGAGCGAGACGTCCATTCTTGCGGTGGGCGGGATGCCGTTGGAAGCTATGCACACGTAACCTCCCATCTCTTCTCGGGAGATTCGGGTGAGGTTGAGCACGCGGTCTTCCACGTAGGATTCTGTCGAGAAAAATGGAACACATGTTAAACTATTAAGATTGCACATAAAACATTCTTTAACTCTCTATTGTTTCTTTGACAATGTGAGAAGTCACACAGTCAAAGCTGCTGCCACGAGACATAATAATAATAATAAATTAATAAATTGTTTTATATTTCTCGTGCCACAAACAACCTCTCGATTTACAGTGTGGTGCTCTAAACATACATGGAGTAAAACCTAAAAATACAGGAAACAACAAAGTTGAATCAATAAAAGTCATGCAACATTATCATAATGCAAACATTGATTATTGATTAGTTCACAGACATCCAGTCGCGTAGATTTAACATAAACTCCTGAGTGGATAAAAAGATGTCAAGGTTAATTTTTTTTTAATCATAAGCAATTTGCATCCTTGACAATGGGATTACAGCGGACAAGCAAGATGGTTAAAAACTCGAAATGTTTCGACTCGGGCGAGAGGGAACATGAAACTCAATAGTTTGTAATAAAGCCGCCCAATTCACCCTGCATGAACACATTTTTGAAGGAATAAAAAATCTCTGTTCTGCCTTTTCAAGGCCAATTTATGCAGCGAAAATTCACGAAGCAATGTTTCGGAGTGAAAAGAACATCTCATTCCAATGTAGAGGTTATATAAAATTCTTACCATTCGTTTTTTTACACTTTCAATAGCTAGCTCTTGCGACAGCGTCAATGGATTCCAAATGACTGAGGCAAATTCAAGTCGCGATTGAACTAGACGCTTAAATAAGAGTAGCAAGCAACAGGGAGATGAAAATTGACGACAAATTCTTGAAATCATTCCTAATGTCCTCAACGCTGCATTTACTGTAGCGAAGACATAATTGTTGATAGAAATTGAGCAGTCAATAAGCACTCCAAGGTCCCTAAAATGGAGACTGGAGTAACTAATACGCCATCCAGGTAATATACAGAACAAACAACATCACGCTTTCTGCATAACACCATTGATTTGGATTTCAAGGGGTTAAGCAACAAGCTGTTTTCTAAACACCATCTCGAAACGCGACTGAGATCAGCTTGGAGAAGAGAACAGTCGGATAGTGACTTCACACTTAGAAATAACTTAACGTTGTCAGCAAAGAGAAGAATGTTAGCATTGCTAACACAATAAACAATGTCATTTACAAACAACAGGAACAAAAGCGGGCCAGGAATTGAGTCCTGCGGCACGCCAGACTTTGAAATAAACTGTTCGGATAAGATGGCATCGACACGAACAGAATTGTGACGATCACACAAGAAGCTATGAAACCATCTACACAAATGGGGGCTGAAACCATCTGAGGCCAGATTGATCAACAATAAAACGTGCCTAACGCAGTCAAATGCTTAAGACATGTCTAGATAGATGGGGTCAACTTGACCTCTACGACTAACTATTGGTGCGGTGTAACTTAATAACGAACACAAATTGGACTCTACAGACCTACCTCTTCAAAAGCCAAGTTGTTCATCAGATATTACCGTCTTCAGGTAAATATAAACACGCTTATAAACTACTTTCTCAAAAACCTTGGCAAATCCACATAATAATGACACTGTACGATAATTACTAGCTAAAGAAGAATCGCCGCCTTTTAATACAGGAACAACAATGACGAACTTCCACAGCCCAGGAAAAAGTCCTTGTTTAAGTGATAAGTTGAAAATATGACAGAACAGGGGAAAATATAGCACAGGAACCTTTGATAATAAAAGTGGGTAAGACATCAATACCCTTAGAAAATTTTGGTTTCATTTGATCTATTGCTTCGATTCTATCTTCGATGTCTACAGTAAAAGAAGAAAAATATTCATCACGTTCGACACCCAAGGTATTAGTATTACTCGATTGCTGATGCAAGTAGCATGACTCCATTTTACCGCTCAAGTCACGCACTGAGTGCGCGAGAGCGTCACGCGCTGGTGCATTGAGGGCAACAATGGATGTCTTAACTTTCAGACAGACAGACATGTAGGCACCCTAGGTGAACGGAGTATAGGGCGACCGAGCAGAGACAACCAACACCGACAACCCTCAAACACGTGCTGCAGGCACGCGAAGTTAGATTTGGCAGGCTTGAAATCAGTCGTGCTTATTCACGAGCACCGGGAGACTGCAAGACATTCGCGTGCATGCTTCACGTGCCTGGGGCTTGTTCGGTATCGGTCGTTTCTGTTTTTAGTTCTAGCAGGACTCGGGCATACGAAGACTTTATAACATATTTTACACAAAAAACGGTTTCCACGGATGAACAGAACGAGCTGTAGGCTTTTTCCGTATTCCTTTAGGGCCTAAGGAATCAGGAGGACAGTGGCTCCAGTATATGTAGAGTTATAAAGTAACTGATCGCTGTTTTTTTTCGTCGAGTGTAACTACTCGTAATTACAGAATAAGTAATAAAGTTTTCTTGAGCAGTTCGTGACCTTCGATTCACGAAGTCGGTGTTGTAAGGGGATTCCATTTCTTTTTTTTTTTTTTTTTGGGGGGGGGGGGGGGGGCGTGCTAGGCAGCACGCTCGGACAGGCTCAGGAGACTCGTAATCACACTCTTTTCTAGCACAGCGTAAATTCGCGAGTGAAAAAAATTAGAGACGTTTACAACTCCCTGTGATGCTGAATTAGAGCGCAGCTCTTGAGGAGGAGGAGAGGAGTTTACGGAGGGTAGGGTATGCCCCTCTTTCCCGTCCTCCTCTCCCCTCCCATTTAGCGAGAAATTTTCTCTACATTTCACGGTAAATTCAGCGGTAAAAATTCCCCGATAAATGTAGCGGGGAAATTTTTCTGCTAAAATTAGGGGGGCAATTTTCCCGCTATTTCTAGAAAAATTTCCCGCTAAATTTAGGGGGAAATTTTCTTGCTAAATTTAGCGGGAACGTTTTCCGCTTAATTTCTAGGAAAATGTTTCCGCTAAATTTTGCGGGAAAATTTTGGCTAAATATAGCGAGGAAAGTTTTCCGCTAAATTTCTGGGAATATATTTTTACTAAATTTAACAGGGAAATTTTTCCGCTAAATTTAGCGGGGAAATTTTCCGCTAAATTTCTAGGAAAACTTCCCGCTAAATTTAGCGGGGAAATTTTTCCACTAAATCTAGCGGGGAACTTTTTCCGCTAAAATTAGCGAAAGAAATTCACTCCTTCTCCTCCTCCTCCCTCGAGACCCTTGTGACGTCACACGTGAAGTCGCATGTGATGTCATTATGTAAAACGTCCTATAATACAACGCGCGGTTACGCCGACGGCGACGTCGCTCAAGCCGGAAACGGGCGCCTAAGAGCTGCACTCTAAAATAGCGGAAGTCATTTTATGCAATATCTATTTGTCGCAAGTGCACTCTTCAGAAGCCAAGTGGGACGTTGTGCACCACCTGCAAAGATACTGGTTTGAATTGTATTTGAATTGACGCAGAATAAGGGAAACTTACCGTGCCACCTGTTTCCGTAAATAGCCGCCCCGTCCGTCCTTCTCCATGTGACCACTGGCCGTGGTTGTCCGGTGGCGCTGCACGTGAGCTGGAAATTCTTTCCTTCTTCCACGTGAAACGTTTGCACGGTGTCCGAGCCCACAATGGACGGTGGAACTGCATTTAAACAAGATCGAAACTCTTTGTAATTTTTACACTTCACAAACTATCCCTCTCTTCCCCATTCAGAGCACTACTCCTTCCTACTTTTGAGCGCGACCAAATCAGCAGAGTTTGAGCTCTTCTCTGCCTAACGTTTCTTTGCTCCTGCTAAAGTTAGTCAAATCAGTGCGTTATTATTTTAGTATAAGTTAATAAAAGAAGTAGCGTGGTGAAAAAAGCGAGCTTGCGCTGATCCAACTCGGGGCTTGGTAGGCTAGGTGAAAATATGCATGTATATTTTGTTTAATTTTGTTTTATGTAAAAGATTAGCTACATTAGTGCCAGCATTCTATCTTCAATTACACTTCGGCACATGCACGGCCAAACATTATAAAAGACAACGATTAGGTCCTATATACAGATTGTTAACCTTATGTTGCACCGAATAATGGCCAAAATAATTGCGTAGAAAATGAAAAATAGCATTATAGTTTGTGGGGATGTCATAGGCAGCAGCTTACATGGCAACCACTACAGCGCTACAAAGTTTTAATGGCTAATTAATTGATTAATCAATGTACACGGACTGTCTTATTTCGCAATATGACAATCTTCTGTTCAAATCTTCGTATTCATTTCCGTCACAGAGCGAATAAAATGTAGTCAGACGATCGCACAACTCTAGCAAGATGAGTGACTTTACTCATTCGGAATTGCTTCTTGAGTCTGCTGACATAGTTGTAACATAACATGGACGAGAATGTCACCGAGATATTAACATCAGTTATTTCGTGCACATTGTTTTAATGAATAATTTAAAACGAAAGAATAAAAACATTAAATACGTTCACGGACGGCCACACTCTTTCAAATTGCAACGACGTTTTGAAATAGCAATGAAACCATCGTTGCTTTTAGAAAAAGTGTTGTCGTCGGTGTACGTTCTTAATGTTTCTATACTTTCATTCTTAAGATATTATCATAACTAGCGAATTCGAAATATTTAGTGCAGCTCTACACTGAGAGCTTTGATCAGGTACGTTTAGCCAGACCACTCTCTAAAAGAAGAGTTTCGCGCTGGAGGTTCGGTATTGACTAATTAGAGACCTGCATAATAGATACTAAATTGCAGACGACGAACAAAAAAGCAGTCACCGTGAAACGCCGACCAGGTCTTGCCAGAAAAGTGAAGTGCTTTACTTTATACATTTTTGCAATAATAACAACTTATCGACTGCAACATTTTGAAACACGAGCATGATTAATCGCCTGGGTTGTTCAGCAACGCCACGCGTGACAACGGTGTTCGGCTTTTACGACACCCTAAAACTTGGCCGTCAAAAGGCGGCAGTTTTATGGCGCGAAAGGTGTTATACTGATAGGCATAAAATGGAGGACAGTATGTTTTTGTTTTTCTTGTGTTCCCAGACTTCAAGTAAAAAAAGTTACCACCACGATGCTTCATCTGTGTGCAGCGGGCGAACCTCGTACCATTGCAAGAGGGCGGCGTAGCGTGGTCATGCTCTTAGAAGCAGATACTCATCCACAAAGTTCATAAGTAATCAAAGCTCGAGAAGTTTGCTAGAGGATACAATCCACGCTAACTCAATAAAAAATAAAGTAACCAAACGACCAAATCTTCTATCGTGAACCAATAGCCTTAGAGATCTGCTAGTGCTTAGCTCAAAGGTTCTCTTCGGCGTATACAATGTAAGATCGCACTGCAAGTTTATTCGTACCATAAACATGTCGAACCATAGTGTTTATGGCACGGAAACATGACTTTTTATGAAGCCGTAATTCACGTTTTCATCTTATGTAAGTCCTGCACCGGATCCTGCCGAACTTGACGTGCAATTTTTTCATGTTAACACTCATTCTTTCTTATATAAATTTAATAGCGTCGTACGCAGTTCTTTTATTTTACTTTTAGCGCTATCTTCAACTATCGAAGTGAACCTTTCTACTTAATGACTTGTTTCAGCCCTAGACGTAATGTAAGGTGTAGAGAAGAAGTGGAGCTTGGAAATGAAAAAAAAAAGCGTTAACTATACTAGAGTTTATTATCTAGTGGTATCGCAACCGGTGCATCGCTGTTTCATGTCTCCTTTTTTGTCTTGTGGTACTTGATGATGCGGCCGTTTTGTGCTTATAGTACTGGAAACGCCAAAAGGAAAGAAAGTAAAGAAAAAAAATTGCAGTTTAACACAGTTCAACGATGAGCATTTCAAAATGCCATCTGACTCATGGGCGACGAATCACTCACTATGTTCAGGAATCGCATAGTGCAGAGTAATAATGATGAGCTGCCCACGTAACCTTTTGTTCATATGGTAAACAAAAGGCATCAGTTATCCAGCCTTATTCACAAAAATAAACAACCTAGAGGAAAAAAAACTGTATTTATACACCCCTTTAAACATTTTCTGGCTCATTATAACGTGCAGCGTCCTACATATTGCAAGCCTTTCTTACACTTACAATTTTGTATTATTTTTCGACGTGGCGATAAAAAAATCTCTCCGTGTTTATTTTTTTTTTTTAATTTTCGGCAATGTAGTACGACATGAAGCGTGTCAATAGGTGTTTCAAAGGGCACTACCGACATTTAGTTTGAACGTTATTCATTTCACAGATGTATATTCCTGCAGAAGTATGACACAAGTATACCCACACGTAACGCCAGTGAGTAACGTCTTTTGTAAAGATGTAATTTCAAAAAGAAAGGAGGTCGATTTTTTTTCATTATTTATTTCGTACCATTAGCCTAGCGTATAGCCCTACGAGTAGTTATATAGTGATGCCGTCGGCGTAGACCACTCCGGAGAAAAAAAACTTAAATTAGGCTAATTTATTGGACACAAGCATCGCGTGATCACTCGCCTCGGCTGTAATTAAGGTATTGATATGAATTCTGATTGTGCCTCAAGCTCAATCGCTGCGCTTATAATAATTACCGAGCGCTACTAATTTCCGAAGCACAGCACGTGCTCTGTGACATCCAAATTCGTGGCTATGAAGAATATTAAGGACATAAAATTGATGACATATTATGAGCACCTGTTTCGTTTTTGAGTTGAGGTGAAGATCTGAACTCGTTTTTCTTCATTTTTTATGAACTGTTATTGTTTCGACGCAAAAACATAATGCGCGTTTATAAACGCCATGCATATATAAAACCATACAGTTCTATTATTGTTCTGATAAGGCACTGAATGATTCAGTACCATGCAGTGAATTCAATATATGCACACCTGTTAAGTCTGAGGTATCATAGTCGTCATAAAAATTGTACAAATATTGTTATTTTAATAAAATTGGCATACAAACGTTTTGCCAACATACGATCTCTTTGCACGCACTTGGGAACATTCTTATAAATGCTTAGATTCAAATGAACAGTATCAAGGAAAGAAAATAAAACCACTCACAGGTGGCTTAGGCTAATAATGACTGGACGACTCCCAGTGTTTTGTTCAATATAGTTACTGCCACGACTCAATGCTGTAAGTGACGCTTTTCTGCTTGCTGAATTTTGTCCCGGTTAACAATACTTTTGAAAACTGTATCTTTACTTACACGTTCCGAAAATCTAAAATCTGAAAACGTTAAAAAAATCTTTGTCGTCACATCAAGTATGCTCTAATCAAATGTGTTTACCTCACCAGTTCATCATTAACAAATATAACCCTGAAGGTGTTTGCAATTTTAAGATTTTTTGTCAGTTTTATGACATTAAGTTCCGACTTTTCATTAATGCTAAAGATATCAAGAAAAGGGCAGTGCAGTAAAATTCTTTTTTTTTTTTCATCCCGTTTTATTCTTTTTTGTATCTTGAGAATGGATGCCGTGAGGCCGCCGTGTCTTCACTGCCTTATACTTGTTGCGACACGGATGAACCTCAAGATGTATGTTGCTCCCAAGCAACTTCGTAAAATTCCATTCTTGCTTTCTGCAACTTCCTTACCATATTTTATTTTTCCATTAACCGCGCGAAGTCACTCGAAGAAGCATCCAAAGAGGGCATCCTTACTAAATACGTATATCAATAACGTGAATATTCTACCGTGTACAGTCTAGATTAGCGCAATACACTTTCATTGGAATATATATTGTCGAAGAACAAACACTAAGTGAAATATCGCTTCTTTTGTTTTAGATCTGCGTAATGCATTGTTGACCAGAAATTTGCTCCGCTTCCTTTTGGTGACATAGTCATTCTCAAAAGTCAAAATAAAAGAAGTCAAAACGTAATTAACAGTTAAGATTAAGAAATTACTTCAGCAAACATGGCTTTTATTAATCAGCAGAATAAATAATGTCTTCCTTTTTTATTAAGTATATAGACGAAAACTACGGAAGTAAAATTTAACACACCATTTTCATATAAATGTTTCCTCGTTGCAACTAAATTACTGATACTTCAAACAGGCTACATACGAAGAAAATTTGCACAGGTGTACCAGGGTCGCAGAGCGCTAATGAATCCGTATTATAAAATGACTTTTATGTCGCCAGAATTATTCCCGAAAGACAAGCGGAAGACAATACAATTTAGCCAGAGGAGACTGAATATTACTTATTGATTTATTTGCCGTGTTCTCATTTTTGCTTATCTTAGATGTCACACTGGCGTAAAAACAATTTGAGTAACAATGGAGACTTTGATTATAATGCAATTAAATGCAAAGGTGCAAGCGAGCTGGACAGTAATGATGAAAATAATCCCTGGAGAAGGGGAACAAGAGGGACAAAGGACAAACACAAATCTCCAAACCTTGTCCTTTGCCCCCCTTGTTCCCCTTCTCCAGGGATTATTTTCATCATTACTGTCCAGCTCGCTTGCACCTTTGCATTTAATTGCATTATAATCATAACCTTAAAATTGCAAGCTTCCCACTTGATGGTGTTAGGCTGGTGGCGGCTGATAAAACCCGTTTGCTCTACTGATGTCTAACCCCTGGTTAGCTCAGTTGGTAGAGCGCTCCACCTGTAATGGAGAGGTCCCGGGTCAGATACCCGGACCAGGCGGATTTTTTCGGTCGCGCACCAATCACCTAGCTGTGTTTGGAGATTTGTGTTTGTCCTTTGTCCCTCTTGTTCCCCTTCTCCAGGGATTATTTTCATCAAAAATGGCGACTTTATTGCACAGCCGTTTTGGAAAGAGTCTTTCCTTCCTGTCAGCCATTTCTGTTAACCCATTTGTGCGTCTCGGAAAGAAAATACTCTCCGAAATGTCGGCAGATTAAAGACTCTATTATAATTTTAAAAAATTCTTAAATTTCTTGATTAAATTTTTGAGTGAATTCAGTGGCTAAGTTATGCGTTAGGATGCTGGCTCAGGTATGCACTAAGGTATGGCGCCAGATATAATGAATTATTTGGAACTATTCCCCGAAATAATCTAAAGCCGCCCATGTTGTTATGGCGCCTACACATGCAATACAACTGAACCATCGTATTTTCTATCATAATATCGCGCCAACTGAAAGCAGTTAGCTAGGTGCCGGTACTCGAATAGCATGATACAAAGACGAAAAACGGGGTTTGAATTTGGTGTTTGCCCTTTTAGGTCGGAACCTACACGCATATGCATCACGCTACTGTGGCCGTCTTGTGCATAAAACACGCCGCTAAATGTTTTGGGATAATTTTCAAAGCCACAATAAAGAATGCGGTTCAAGCAACACACTGCCATCTTAATCATTTATGGTACGCAGCTTACTAAGTAGTTGTTCGGTGTCTGTCGGAATCTTGCTCTCAACAGTCCAAGCGTTTATTCCAGGAATTCCTGTAAAGAAAAGAAAGTGGCAAACGATATACGTACCAATATCGAACCGTCGGTTTTTGGTCTGTATACTCGCTGACATCTTAATAAAGTCGGGACATTGCGAGTTCTGTGAGTCCTTATATTCCTCCACTGCCAGTGATGTTGCGGTTTTGAACGATGAATATGTTGAAGAAGGCATAACGACAAAAAACAACCGTGAACGCAATCGTAAATTAGAAATTAACACGCTCTAGAATCTACGCAATGAGGCCCGCCCGTCGGTTCTGAAAATCTCTGTGGCCATAGTAAGGTAAACCCAAGCTGATCAAACACAGAAACTACCTTGATTTAGTGTCCGAAGTGCAAAGACGGAAGCAAACAATAATGCCTTCGTGTGTGTCTTTACTGTAGTCTCATATTATTTGGTTTACGTACCTGGGGTGCCGGGGATGCCTGGAAGCCCTCTTTTCCCCCGAGATCCAGGAAGGCCTGCAAAACACACACGCGGATGTTGCCGAAACATGTATAACTATACTCATCAACTATATCACCAAGAAGGCGACAAAATGATAATAGCAATAAATACTTGGTAGTTCAAAACGCCTTAACAGTGTTGACTTTTTTAAAAACGCAGCTCTTAGGCGCCCACACCCGCAAATGGCGGTGCCCGCGTTGCCGTCGGCGTAACTGCGCATTTCCCGCGAAATGTAGCAGAGAAATTGATTTCACGAGGGAAAAAGATTGGGGTGTTTGTATGTTTATACAACCTAGAACTTAGTCTACCTCAACGGGCGACTTGTCTCCCAGTTGTAGATGAGAAATTAAGCCAGTGCAGTGCAACCGCTAACCTGGGGTCTTTGACGTGCAGATATCAGAAGACATATACACGAATTCAGCTTCTCAGCTAAATTTAGGGGGAAAATTGATGTCACGTTACGTGACGTCACGGGACATAGAAAACAATTCTGTTTCCTTGCTAAATTTAGCGAAAAAATTAACGTCACGTCACCTATATCCCGATTCAGTTTTCCCCCTACATTTGGCGGGAAAGTGGCGTCATGTGACATATACACCTTGGGAAATAGACGGCACGTGACCTATAGGTGAACATGATTTCACAGGTAAATTTAGTGGGAACATTCACATCTTGTAGCCAAAACATCAATTTAATTTTCCCGCTAAATTTAGCGGAAAATTGACGTCTTATGACCTTGACACCAATCCAGTTTCCCCCGCTAACTTCACTTTGGGAAATCGACGTCACCTGACAATACAATGGGGAGTTTTCGCAGACCGCGTTTCCCCCTCCCATGAGCCCTCCACGACGAAGAAGACACTACCACGCCTGCGCTCCGTTGACCTTGATTGTATAGTTCCGGGTATCGTATCGGGTTGCGGAGAGCGTTACGGGACGGCCAACACTATCTACGAAAACTCCCTATTCCTTCAGTTTCCCGGTTAAATTTAGCGGGAAAATTTAAGTCCCGAGACACACAAATTTACTATCATGCACTCCTTTCTTCATAAAAATCAAGGTCTGGGAGAGGACTTGTAGTTCAAGAACCAGTATGTGGGGAAAATCAAGATAGCTCAAGAGCTGCGCTCTGAATCCATAATACACGAAAGCGCAAGTGTTTTTCCATTTTCTTTAAATACTTTTTTAAAAAATTTGTAACCCCGGCATACACTATAAGCAGAGCCGTATATGTAGAGAGTTTGGCCATTCGTTGGGAAGTATAAAAGACAAATGAGGAGGCGCCATTGGCCAAAAGCGGGCTGGGCGTGTTCCAGGGCGTCTTCAGAAATTCGAATGTGACCAACCAGGAGCCGGAAATAATACCCTTGCGGATGTCGCGAGAAACAAACCTCATAACTGCATTGGAGTAACTCTCGATGGCTGAAAATATGGTACACGTGATGTTTCAATCACGCTCATTCAAAATGATAGTAGAAGAGTGCGTCTAGCGGAACGATCGACATAATCCGTACGCCAAACGCCGAGGGCCGGGAATCTGCCGTCCGAGTGGTCATATTCTCTCCGCGCAAAACGGAGTTGAGCGGCGCATTCATTTCTTACATCTTTCTGCGTGATCATGATGAAAACAACACGTGCACCCTATTTTCAACCACGAAGAGTTACTACACTTCACTCTTACGCACACATTAAAACCATATACGAACATAGACCTTTGATCAGAACTGTTTCTCGCTACCACCGCTAGAGGACTGTTTTCGGCTTCTAGTTGGTCAAGAGAGCATGCCGAGCCCTCTTTCCGAGTCTGCCGCACGCCCTGACTCTGCCCGCGCCTCCCATTGACCAAACTCTCTACATATACGGCTCTGACTATAAGCTAATACACCCTATTCAGCATTTTGTGCGTCAGCGGTCCCCTCGAGCTCCGTACGTTACATCTCAAATTGTCAAATAGTCGGAAGTGTCGATATCTCAACTTCGCATTCCAAGACCATTTCGAACCACAGCTCTTTCAAAGCAGATACATTAAAGAATCACAAAGCACTGTTTCCAGCTTATGTTGTCCGCGGTTGTATACATCTTATACTACCCGTAAACGTTTAAGTCACAAGCACAGGAAATTATGCGAGACCGCAGTGACAAAATAACAACAAAAAAAACGATGAAGTAGTCTACGTTATTTAAATCAATAGAGGGGAACACGTATAAGAATCTGTGTAATTTTCCGGTTTTCTTTTTTCTTCTTATTTTTGTTAACACAATTGGAATAGACCTAGAGATGCCTGAAACCGCCAATACGAGGACCTATGGTCACTGAGAGCTTAACATTGAACGCGGGGCGGAATGAGTGCCGAGCGCCTTAATGTATCTCCGCAGTCACTGAGATTGCACTCTTTGTTCCTTCAGGGAATTTCTCCCGTCACATCATGCAATTACGGTCGGAGTTATAATTGTTTTTTATTTATGCGAAACTTGTGTGTTAAAGCCATGTTCTTTGGTTGGGGGAGGGGGGGGGGGGCAGCATTCAGTTGTACGGGAACGTCGTAGCTCATTTTCTTCTCGAGATGTATAAGTTTCGAACCTCGAGGCGCAGATATTGCCCGGGGTTCGCTAGGGTACATTGCACAGCCGTCCATTTCACACCAAAAGGTCCAAGAAACTTTTTACGCAGTTTGTGCAAATTTACAAAACTCGCCAAATGAACACGTTTTACAGACGCATTCACAAATTATTTAGCAATAAGCTATTTTATATAAAACGACGCAAAATATATCAAAATAATCTTCTTTAAACTGATTTTACGATTATATAAAGAGCATGCGTATGCAGTATTTCAGTAATGTTATTAATGCAGAGAGGCAGCTCATTTTTCTCAATGTGAAAAACTTGCACGTAAATAATAGGAAAAAAATATATTTATTAGTTTCTTTGAACACTCGTTACCGTTTACATGGACTTGAACAAGCTTGTGATGGTAAAATATTGCGTAACATGTGACGTCGTTATAAAAAAAAATCGACAACAAACCTTTACTAGGATGGGGCTAGCTTATCTTCGTTATAGAGGATTTACCACACGACGTCGACTCCAAAGAAACTTTTTAACAACCAAAGAAGTCTGTACATCGGCGCTGCTCTATCGCAGAATACAGATAGTCATGCTGTCCACAGGTCAATTAGATTTATATTCGTGTTTCGTTGCAGTGATTTTGTTATTCTTGCCTGTAACCTTTTTTTAAACCACAGTTACGTTATAGGGCGGGTTTCTATTATAAATGAGGAAGCTACTTGCACCAAATAAGAGTTTTTTTATCTCTTAAATTTATCTTAAAAAAGACAACAAATGTAACGATATACCTATGTCTGGTAAAATAACGCGATACAAGCAATTTATTCTAAATCTATTGCACTACTGAGATACAAATACATTTTTCAGACGTATCTTGAAACAGAGATAAAGATACTTGAAATAACCTCTAAGATACTGTCCAGCCCTGGTTCAAGTCACTGTAAACGGCTAAGAAAAAAAATAAGATATAATAAAATATATTTTTTATATGTACGTACAAGTTTGCCACATTTAGAGAAATAAGCTGCGTTTTTGCATCATTAACAGAACTACAATAATAGCTAGTAATTGCTTTCATGGAAATTCAAGAAATGCATTCTAAGACGATTGTTTATATGAACTTTGAATCGCTTTATATAAAGTAGTCCGATGGTAAATAATTTCTGAACGTGTCTTCGAGACCTGTTTATTTCATGAAATGCGTTTTTTTTTTTAATTTTCTATAGAAATATATTACTAAAATGTTTAACCTAAAATGTACGTGTCCTGAGCCTTTCATGAAGTAAGAAATATTATTGTTTTGATGTGTACGTTTAGGTGTAAAATTGGCGGCCGTGCGAAATACCATAGCGAAGATTTGGGAATCTCCGCGCCCCGAGCTGCAAACGTTTAAATCTCCGGAAAAAAATTCGCTATACGGAGTTCGCAAATAGCCCAAAAACGTGGCGGAAATGAGCATACTTCGTTTTATAATAAATATAAAAATATAACAAGTCCATCATTGCAAATTTTTGACGTGGAAACACCCTTAAGCCGTTAGCGACCATACCAGGCATTTTATTTGTCCATGATGACGCTTGTATTCTCTGACAGCCTAAAAACAGGGTGTGGCTTAGCATGTACACGCGCGTCCCTTCGTGATTCAATTTCCGGCGTTCTTACTGGTTAATTCCGAACTCTCATCGACCGAGGAGAGACACTAGTTAGAATGTTCAGGGTCTGCCGCACCCTGCGTAAGCTGTCAACGATCACATCAGGTTTAGTCATATTTTGAAGGAAGATAGCTGTGAGAATCACGCGTTCCGAAGCATAGAATAATGTTATACGTAAAACTTTCACCGAAACGATTTTTTTTCATGTGCCAAAGCACAAGGATATCCCTAGGTGCTCGTATTGACCAAACGCCAGCGTTTTAATAGAGGTGTTAACGTTTCGTATTCCTCTCACGGGGCTTATTAATCTGCCTCAGAAGTCCCCTTCGATTCGTCCACACGAAGGGTTAACAGAGAAACATTAATTGTTGAAAACTTTAGCATTAAATATTTAAGAATAAATATTAATTCGGACTAATTAACTCGAGTTAAGTGATCCTTTATCTTACCCGGCAGTCCTTTCATCCCCGGTGGTCCTTGAGGCCCTGGTATTCCGTCTGTACCTGAGATGAAAACGAACAAAAAAGGTTCATTTTAAGGGACACAAGTTTTCGGTAGAGTACTGCGTGAAAATAATGGAAGGAATTATTTCGACAATGGTGCCATCATTCGTACCGTAGCACAAAAGCGTCGTTTTGAAAAATTTATTCTTTTGTGTAGCAAGAAGTCACGTGAAAGAATAACCAAAAATAAATTTACCAAGGCATGAATGAAAACATAATATCATAAATGAATAGTATATGGGTAGTGAAACAAATATACAAACGTGTAAAAATAACAGAGTGATGCGCGCTAACGAAGCGCCCATAGTTCACTATGTAAACGAGAGGAAAATAATTTATTTTACCGTGTTGCCAGCTAATAAAAGTGCAATGGTTTGCCTTGAACGGTGTTTTTTTTTTCTTGTTTTTTTTCGGTTTAAATAACATTATCCGATCGATTGAAGAACAACTGCAGTCTTTTTTGTGTGACGAGATGGTCCGCAATATAATAGCTTTTTTTTTTTCAAGGAACTAGGAGAACAGTATTTTGAGTCACTACCTCATTTTTGAGAATTACTAGAATTACTAAAACAAATTAATTTATCTGATTCACAAGTACACTTTATTTTTATCCATCGCGACAAATTTCATCACACCGTGTTTTTTTTTTTTTTTTCATCAGACGGCATTGTTTATAGAATACTACGACCCTTTGTTATTACTTCTCGCAAAGGTAACCTTCATCAGTAGATATTTTAAAATTATTCGTTTGTGATCCTCTTCCACAAATTCGTCAAAAAATATTTTACTGGAATAATTGATTTCGTCGGCATTAAAACTAACTAAAACAATAAACTTAACATTGCTAGATACTGATACATTTTGTGTCGAAGCACTCACGGGCTCAGTCGCTGATGACGAAATAGTAAATTTTAAACCACAGAGGAAGTGCGCAATACCCCATCGATGCTTACACGGTTTCTTGGAACCGTCCCTCATACATGTTTACGTAGGTTTTTTATGACATGTAGCCGCGAATAATGCCATAAGCTTTATATAAAGTAAGGGATGTTTTAGTTGATATATATATATATATATATATATATATATATATATATATATATATATGATTAGTCTTACAATAAAGGCATTCGAATTTATATTGCTATTGGATGTTAGGGGGAATAAAATATGAACGCTCCAGCAATACAACGGCGTTTAGTCACTGTCACCATTAATCTATAAAAACAGGGCAACCGAATAGCTTCAGAATGATAATGAAGGAAGACGCTTGATAGGAGATGTCAGCACAAATAACAGAGGAAGCAAAACAATAAAAAAAAAACAAGCTTTGCGAAGTTAAGGCGATCCATCAAACTTGAGTGATTACAAAGGATACATATCGTTGGGAAGAGAGATGGGTCTGGGCGCCCCGTTGCAGATTTAGATCGTTTCCGTTCGATACAAAGGGTGCTGCTTACACAACCATTTATCAAGTTCAGGAAGTCGAAATGCGATGTACTTACTAAACCTTGGTGACTAGCAGGAGTCTGAATAGAAAGAAAGGAATAACCAGCTCCTCAGTATCGAGAAACTTTTTGTGTCTTGTTCCTTTTGTATTTGTCATTTCTTCAGCCGACTATATTCATATTTCGTTTAACATAAGGGTGTCGTAAATACAGCGCAGAATAACTTCAAAAACTGAACGAGACGTTCTTAACTCAATAATAAATATTGTATCGAAGGAAAGAAAAAACTGTTTTGTTTACAACCTCGAGCAAATTTTGAAAGTGGGACGCGCATCTTTTTTGCAGCTCCAGCAGTTAGTGGGGGTTCAGCAAGGAAAATTTCATGGTCGTCTTTTGCGAAAACTTCCGGAGATGTCTTCAAGCACATGATCGCCACCCCCCCCTCCCCCCCCTCTCTCCCCGAGTTTGTAAGAAAATCATTATTTTCCCCCGTTGAGACGGGTTCGAAGCAGCGACCCATGAATGACAGCAATTTTTTTCTGTATGGCCTACTGCTCTACCGACTGAGTTGCGACAGGACGCGTTTCAATGAATCAAAAGCGGTGGATAGGTTTGCAAGCATGGTTCGCGACCTTGCTCTTTGCGTTGAAGCACGTGCAGAAAACACGTGAAGGTGGCTTTGGCAGGCGCGCGATTCCACATGCTCCGTGATGCGATCAGAAACATGGCGGCGGCCAAACGCCTTGAGTGCAACCGTCTAAATATGCTGAGCGCAAGTTCGTCTGCTTCTTGAGCAGGGGTTGCGGAGACCTCAGAACGCAAAGCTTTGATTGGCTTTGATGGAGGGATAGTGGGTAGACCTCAATGCTAGCTGTTTTGAGGTCTACCCACTGTCCTTCCAGTAGGAACCAATCAGAATTTGGCGTTTTGACGTCACCGTAACCCCTGCTCAAGGAGCAGACAAACTGCGCTCTGCCCAGGTTTTGTTCCGTTCTACTTTCGATATTGCTTCGGCGTCTGGTGCGTCTCGAGCATGCACGGCCATTTGAAGTAGACGCCCTGCCGGGCACCCCGTTGTGCCGATTCGTGCGCACGATCATCCGAACGGAAGAACGCCGTATTGCTAGGCCTCGGAATCTTCGTAACCGGTTCGAATTTCAGGTACTGCGCGCTGAGGAGGCCCGTCGTAGACGAGGTACGGATGAGGCAAACACGGGAGGGAAATCGAGAGCGGAAACAAAAAGGGCGTGACATATCCTCAGATCCGTGCTCAGGATGCGGCGCCGAAACGACAACGGCACTAGAAGTATAAAGAATTACGCAAGATCCGAGCTGCTGTCGCTTTTACACAGGTTGCGCAGTAGCGTACGCAAATGCACGATATCTTCTTTAGACCCCCTCAATTAATGGTTTCGGCCCTCGGGTTGCAATGATCCTGAGCAAAAACTAAAGCGTTTCTTTGATCGACCGACCAAAAATCCCGTATACAGATGGCATTAGTATTTCTTCGGGCAGCGGTCTCGCACTCGTTTGACTGAGTGGGGGGAAGGGGGGGGGGGGGGGGGGCATGTAGTCCACTCCCGAATAGTCGGGGGCCAACCTAAGGGCGGGGGGGGGGGGGGGGGGGTTAAGATGATTTACAGAGAAGTGACTTGATATTAATATTCCCAGTTATTTTTCTAAACTCGCAGTTCTGCCAATGACATTTTTAGCCATGGTTTGTTGATAGGACTATTTTTTTAACTTTACCTTATCTGATAAACGTAATTAAATTGCACCGCCCCACTAACGTGGTGGCATTTTCCCTAGAACAAGAAACAAAGCAAAGTGCCGCTCTTATTGCTCAACTCACTTAAAAAATAATCCAGCTCAACATGTCTAAAATTAATATCTTCACACAAAACTGAGTTAGGGTGCATCCCTGCTGGTGTAAGTTTGCCATTTTGTAAAAAACACCTGAGGCCGGGTAAAAAGAGAGAGAAAGTCAGTCAGACGGCAACACCGCCCTACCAACTTGCACACGAGAGGTTTTGCTTTCCTGGTGATTTCTATGGCAGAAGGCTGTGAAAATACTAGTATTTCAATTCTGATATTTTCTGGAGGTGTGAGTCCGGAGCTCATATTTTTATTCTTGACAGTTGCTCCTGCTGAAGGAGTGTTCATGCAGCCGAGGTGCATCTTTTTGCGAAGAGCTTTATGCTTGCAGCCTGGTAGAATCTTTGTACAATTGATAAGCATGACGAAAAGCTGAGAAGTAAAAATTAAAACGAAGCCTAAGGCTAATAAAAACATCAGTAGAAGGTATGTGATACTATTATTAGAGCAGAGCTCCGTTTCGAGCAGAAATCTAGAAGCGACAGGATATTATATCTAGAGCCCTTTCTAGGGCTCGAGACATAAGAACAGGCGCTCGCAGTCGGCTGCCTGCGGGCCGCGTCCCAGCGACTCTTGGGCAGCGTGTTTAAGACCCTGCTTTAGGGGCTCCAAAATGTTTCACCATAAAAATCTTGCGTCACTTGTCTCTTTGTTTTTTTCTTACGTTTCAGTTATATTTACGGTCATTGCGGTCACTTGAAAATAGGCCACATAAGTTCATTAAGTAGCTAAATAACTAAAAAGGTTAAATTATTTTCTTATTACCCTTTTTCGGGACATAATGTAGTTGGTTGAACTGCCGCTTAACCCCATTATTGTCTAGATGAGTTATAAAAATGTGAATAAATAATTAGTAGCAGGCGATATGGGGCGAAAATCGTTCCCGTTCCACTTGGCTTCAAACCAGGACGCCAAGCAAAAAGCCTTCGCGACTGGGATCTGTCTGCTCTGCGCCGGCTTCTCAAGCCACCCGATCGCGCTGCATATGAAGTCACCAATGCGACGAAAGTGCAGAAAAAGTAATCGACGTTTCCGCTGGAAGTCTTGAACAACGATGGCATTTGTGTCTTCGTATTGGGGAAAGAATCGTCATGGCGGGGAAAGGAAGTGCATAATTTTTTGAAAAACGTTTCCGTCATGCTTGACCCATGCTAAGGTACAGCATTAAAGGGACTGCCCGGTCAAATTTTGTATTCAAGAAAACAATTAAATATCATTGATATTGCCTCGAGACGCTTCGTACGTGAAATATCTGAATTTTATATGCCCCTCTGCATGAGTAATTGAATTTATACTGCTCCAATTACACTCTAGCGTAAGCGCTGTTTTCGGTGGCAACATGGGAGCTCTGACGTCACACAACACAAAGCGAGCATTTCTGTCTCGTCGTTTACCTGCGAGTGACCGCCTCAGCGTGCTTCGTTTTTGTTCTTGTGCTCGATTTGTTTCGTAGTTGGGTGAGATTTTTGTTGCGCGGTTGGGTGCCACAATCACCGGGCAGAACATTCGAGCCCAAGACATGACGTTCCACGCTTTTCCGCGAGACGTGCAGTGACGAGCAAAATGGATCGTCCCCATGCGTAGGGACTGGGTTCCCGTCAAGATCGAGATCCCGCTTATGCAGCAATCATCTCACAGGAGAGAGCTACGAGCTGAGCTCTAAGCGGAGAGAAGGCT